TCACTAATTTCACCTAAATTAATGTAACTAAATATGTCACTAATTTCACCTAAATTAATGTAACTAAATAGGCCTATGTCACTGCCTTGACCTAAATTGATGTTACTAAAATGTCACCACTTTGACCTCAATTAATGTAACTAGCACATGAAAATAATAAAGATGATCCATTGTTGCCGTGTCAGAGTTGAACTTGAAGGCTAACAATGGTAAATGTATCAAAACCAGCCTTTAGTCTTTTAACGGTCTAGGCATCCAATAGAAATCCTGGATCACACACTTGACCTGCAAATGATACATTCATTGTAACTATTACGGAATCGTACTGGGAAACATTTCCCATGTACACACACACCACAAACTCGTTCAATTAAACTCTGTTGGAACCGTTCATTATTCATTATTCCAGTCATCGGGTAGCAGGACGAAAGGGGGTAACTATTGGTGCAAGGAGACGGTAATAGAAACATTCATACTGAGTTCTCTACCTTTCCGATCGAGTTTGAATGTGATTCAAAAATACAGCCGGCAGATCAAAGAAGGGGCGGAGAGAACGTGGACAGACTTAATAGTAAACGTGGATAGAGTTTATTGAGAACATGGACATAGTTTATTGAGAACGTGGACAGTGTTTATTGACAACGTGGACAGAGTTTATTGACAACGTGAACAGAGTTTATTGAGAACATGGACAGAGTTTATTGAGAACATGGAGAGAGTTTATTGAGAACATAGACAGAGTTTATTGACAACGTGGACAGAGTTTATTGACAACGTGAACAGAGTTTATTGAGAACATGGACATAGTTTATTGAGAACATGGAGAGAGTTTATTGAGAACATAGACGGAGTTTATTGACAACGTGGACAGAGTTTATTGACAACGTGGACAGAGTTTATTGAGAACGTGAACAAAGTTTGTTAAGAACGTGGACACGGGTTATTGAGAATATTGACCGACATTGTTTCTTTTAACGCTTGAGTATGTCCATGGTTCTGACATATACATGCTATATGTATCCACTGGTCTTTCGGTTAGGACATTTAGATACACCAAATTCTTTTTCATTGTTGCATTTTTAATATTAAATTCATTTGTCTGATCATTTTTATAGTGTTCAATATTATTTTATCTTAATAAATATGACTTTACATATTTTGCTTCCCTTTGACAAAGTGATCTGAAAAAGTTTTATGTGTCGAGAAAATAAACATAAGAAACCAATCAATTAGATGAAATTTAAATGGAAGGCTAAACCACTCCTCATTAGGATTAGATAGCCTGAAGCACTCCTCATTTTGATCAGATAACGTAAAGCACCCATCTTATTGATCAGATACCCTAAAGCACCCTTCATATTATTCAGATAACGTAAAGCACCCATCCTATTGATTAGATACCCTAAAGCACCCATCCTATTGATTAGATACCCTAAAGTACCCATCATGCTGATCAGATACCCTAAGGTACCCATCATGCTGACCAGGTGGCATACAGTACCCCTAAATGTTCATAGAGATATTTTATGTTACCACTCACATTGATCAGATACCTTATAGCTTCTCTTATGTTGAAAAGGATGAAATAAACATGTGAAGTCTACATGGAGGGGGGAGGGGGGCATCTTTAGACAAGAGATTGTAACAACGACGAATGAGTTGTCTTCTGCGCTTAAGTATTGGAAAATACTTTAAGATCATTCAAGTATGTCTTAAACATGTTATACAGGTAGACGATTATTATCTCTTCTTCCGAGCAGTGGCGTAGAATGTCATAACGCCACCCGGATGTGGGCCACGATTTTACTCGCCCACCTATAAGAAAAAGAAAACCCCAAACGTTTAGCCAAAATGTTACCCCTCAATATTAAGAAAAAAATTGCTATCCGAGACGAACTGCGCCATCGCAAAGCCTTTCCTACGCCAGTGCATCTGAGTACTTTTATAAGAAAAATAGAAAAGAATCACTTTAATTTACAAGAATAGAAGCAGATTTTTTTTAGTAATTTCAACTCACGTATTACAATATCGTTTCGTTGAATTCTAGTGAACTAAATGCATTTAAACAAAGTATTCTCAGATATAATTGTTTTTCAACAAATGTCCTGGAAACGAATTTTAGAGAAAGCGAACTCGCAGCAATGTTTATATTTAGCTAGCGTAACCGTACAGGTTACGTTTATATCAGTGTTAATAAAGAGGTAATTAAGTGTATCTTCTATCAAAACATTGTTCTGAGCCGAAATCTAGAGATTAATTACTGTAAACAACTTTATGTTATCAATTACGCGGGTGAGAAAAGACGAGCGAGAAACCATTTACATGCATACTTAAACAAAGCTGGCAACAAAAAGGAGAAAAATAACATACATTTTAGCGCGGTACTGGCTTTCAATCCAACTTGACTGCTTGTCAGTTTCTTTTTTAAAAAAAAAAGGAATGTTATTTTAGTCCAAACGGGCAACACAGTGATGATGAGACAACTGGCTGTGTCATCTTATAGGGCGAGTCCCTCGTTATTGACGTAGTGCCCAGCTGAGCCTGACTGCGTTAACTATAGGAGATGGTGAGCTATGGTCTCGGCTTACCCAACAGACAACAAGAAATACTATATATAGTTCCAGTGTCTGGTCACATTCTTGGTCTCAAACCGTTGGGTCGCCAGGACATCACGATAGTTCGTAGACCCCAAAGCAGTACACAAACTGAGCTGGGTGTGACGCGTAGAAAGACGAAATGAATCATTCTTTTATTGCGGTTTCTCCAAACGTGGATTGTTCTTAGAGTTAAGGAGTTAGGCTGGGGTGAGGTGGGGGGGGGAGACTACCCCTCTTTACACTACAATGTAATCAGGTGTTTCACTGAATCCAAATTAGTGCTTAACACTTCTTACAAATTTAGCGGGCGAGAATTATAATAAAAAAAAATTTGTTTTTGAAAAAATTCGTCCATTCCACTGAGTTGTATACAGTCTAATGTGTTGTATGCACTCTACTGAGTTGTATGTACTCTACTGAGTTGTATGTACTCTACTGTTGTATGCACTCTTCTGTTGTATGCACTCTACTGTGACATGTATTCTACTGTAGTATGCACTCTACTGAGTTGTATGCACTCTAAAGATATGTATGCACTCTACTGTTGTATGCACACTACTGTTGTATGCACTCTACTGTTATAAGCACTCTACTGAGTTGTATGCACTCTACTGTGTTTTATGCATTCTGTGTTGCATGCACTCTTCGGTGTTATTGCACCCTACTGAGTTGTATGCATGTCACCGTGTTTTATGTACTCTAATGTATTGTAATCACTTCTTTGTCGTAAACTAATAAGAATTTGCTCCCTTACTGTGAACACAAAATGTCCAGACACTAGACTATTTAGAGAATATAACATTTTTGATATTTTTGTATATATTATGCCTTTCCTTTTAAATTCTCTATTTTATAATCTTGATAACAATTTTTTTTTTTTAATTTAAATTTTAAGCATTTAATTTTGACAGGTTAAATGGTCGTTGCTGTTGAAAGATTTTTAATAATAATGGTTATTGTGTAGCTAGCATTTATTACACATACATGTTAATTGGAATGCCTTCACTCTTTGTAACCGAAGGGCAGTCCGTATTGTATGTCATTCTATTTTTGGAAACTATTTACCCCCTTCGTTCCACTGTCACAGTCTGGCACAAATCCCAGAATACAACCCCCCCCCCCCAACCCCCTCCCCTTGAAACACTTTTTGTCAAGTACGTCAAACTTACCAATTATAAATTGTTTAAGAATTAACAATTAGTCAAAATTTCCTTTCAAAAGACACCCACTTCTACACTATGAAATGTATCAAAGGGAAGTCTTTACATAAAACAAAGAAAGTTTAACATCCATGCGATTTCAGGTTTTAACTGTATGCAAAAAAAAAAAATATAACATGTATGACGCCACACAATATCTTTACCCCCCTTCTCAAAATTTGACACTTTCTAGATCCGCCCCCCTCCACACCCCCCCCCCCCCCCCCAATCCAGAGCGTGACAAATATAAAATTAGCCTGACCGAGTTGTTAACAAACAGAGTTTTTGTTGTTTTTTTTGTTGTTGTTTTTTTGTTGTTGTTATTTTGTCTCCGTTGTGCTTCTTACTTTCAGAAAAACTGGACTTAACGAATGGACTAATCGTAATCTCTGTTACATCCCACCAGGGTCACTGTTCACTATTTTTTTTTTTCTTTGTTCACGTTTCTAAAGTCGGTAACGGATTGTCTCAAAAAGGCCACACAAAAATCCCTCTGTAGACAATGCATTGTCTCTGTGAGAACTGTTCGTTTGCAGGAGTCCTTGAAAACATTCGGATACGATCAAGTTTCTGTTTTTTTTTGTGTTGTTGGTGTTGTATCTTTACATTTCACCGGTGCTTTCGAGTCAGGACATAATCAGATTTGAGGAGTGAATGGCCAGAATCCACCTTTAAAATACGTCTCGTGGTATAAATATAGAACTGAAAAACTTTAATGAAAATGTGTTATTCTAATTTTTTTTTAAACTATGTTTGTAAATAAAGGGTAGGGAAGCATTGGATTGGGGATCAGGGGCGTAGCTAGGGATTTTGGGGCCCAGGGGACTTGGCCTCTTTGAGGGCCCCTGCATTTTGACATTCGACATTATTTAATGTAAAAAAATATATTTCGGACACTCCTTTTAGGGGCCCCCTTCAAGCAGGGGGACATTCGAATTTGGACCCCCTCCCCTAGCTAAGCCACTGTTGGGGATCATAATACGTGATCTAACTTAGTTTTCGTGTATAAAATCAATGTAGTTTCATGCCATGTACAAAGAGACGAATAATCCAAGCTTTATTTGACGTCTTGCGTTTTTACCCTAAAAAAACCAAAGAAACGCAGTTGATATAATGGATTTAAAAAGACGAAGAAGACAAGAGTGTTTGATTTTTGTATGCTTTATTCAATCATGCATAAATGCAAGACTTTGTCTAAAACTACGGCTGTGCATAAAGTAAACAGTAATACACCAACGCTATTGCACCAGGTCTTAATAAGTAGTGTTTTAAGGGTTTTATTTATTTGATCAAATACTTTTGAAGACGGTGGTAGTTTGGGATAAGTTGCCGGTCTTGATATTCATTTGATTAGTTGCTAAATCTCATTTATTGTTTAAATAATTTAAAAGATGCCAGAGAACCAAACCCTCACCTCACCAACACCCACCCGGACACCAACACGTCAACACCACAACCAGGACTCCGTCACACCAACACCCACACCACACTAACACTCCAACCACAGTAACAGCCACACCACACCAACATCACATCAGCACCCATACCACAGTAACACAAACACCACAGTAAGACCCATACCAAAACAACACTCCGTCACACTAACACTCTAGCACACTGACACACACACGACACCGACAACCACGCCACACTAACACCCACACCACACTAACACCCACACCACACTAACACCCACACCACACTAGCACCCTCACGACTACAACGCCCACATCCCAGTAACACTCACATCCCACTAACACCCATATCACAGTATCACCCACATCCCGTAACACCCACACAGGGCCGCCTTAGGCAATTGCAACTTATGCGGCCGCAGTGGGCCCCGCACTTTCATAGGCCCCGCGATAATTTATTTTCTAATGCAAAATCTTAATTTTCACTTATTATCCTTATCCCTAACCGGACTGGGCCCCGCGCAATCCATTTCGCATAGGGCCCGCAACTGTTAGGGCCGGCCCTGCACCCGCATCCCAGTAATACCCACATCCCACTAACACCCATATCCCAGTATCACTCACACCACAGTATCACCCACATCACAGTAACATACTAGCAAACCACATTATCACTAATACCACAGTATCACACACACAGAGTAACACAGGACCACACTTACATTCCAACAATACTACTATACGTCTAAAATCGTCTTTTGCTGTACATATAAGACGCGTAAATCACTGATCAAGAAATGCCTTGCAGCAATACACAACTTATCAGATAAGTGCACTGGGATACGACTAACGTGACCATGGCACTGAAAATGAGCGTACGGTCATTGGTATTGAATATTAAAACTGTCGGAAATGGAAAGTAAGAATATAGGTAACGGTATTGAAATTGAGAGTATCGGAAATTGTATTGGATTTGAGAGCATCTGTAATGGTATTGGATTTGAGAGCATCTGTAGTGGTATTTATAGTGACGTTATCGGCAACGCCTGACTGAAGAGCGTGAACAAAAGTACAACACAATCGCTAGTTAATTGCAACACGCACGTCAAACAAAATATGAGATCGTTACACCAGAGACAAGCTTTTACTGGCCGACGAGAAGGACGATTTCTTCAACCAGTTTCTGATCTCCGTGTCGTGAGATTTCTTCTCCGAGGACGGACAGATGTACGGGGGTGGCTCAGCTTTACGCTCCACTTCCAGCCCCACCATTTCATCCACGTTTTCCGCTTTATCCACTATATTGGATTCAACGGATTGATGAGACTCCGGAACAAAATCTTCCCCTTTCTTCTGGACAACTTCAGGTCTATGGATGCTCACATTTCTTTTCGGCGCCTCGTGGTGGTTCTGCTTTTGATCATCTTCTCCGTTAACTGGCGACCGGATCTCTGGTGTCTCAGAAGCCACCCTGTCGTGCGGCGACGACCGCTTCGATTCCAGGTGGACGGAATTGCCAAGGGAACGTTTGCTTGGGTCCCGAAATTCCCGGAGTCCTGATTCGGTGGTTAGGGACCTGCGCAGGTGATTGGGAGCAGCTTGAGTGTCAGTGGTGACCGTGCTGGCCGGCTCCTGGCTGACGACATCAGAAAGAGAGCTTGGGGTTACCGTGGCGCTGTCCAGCCAACAGGTTGGGGGTGGAATGACGGATTCGACAGGCTCGGGGATTTGAAATACGCTCTGCGTTGTTGACTTGAGGTCTCTGATGAGGAAACAAAATGGACGAATTAAACAATCCTTAAAAACCAAGATTTTTTAAAAATAAATTCTTAATAAAAGGTAAAATAGAGCTATTGGAAGGCTTTAGTGAGGCTGAAAATTTGATAGGATGTGTTGTCTTTAGCAACAGATCGATATGCTAAGTTTCAACTTGATAGGTTGACTGAAGTGGGACTATTAGCCGTCTGAAGATTTCGCCACCCAGATGGCCACAAACAAAAGCGAAGTTAACAGAAACGATTTAAAAATGGAGTAACCAACAAGATGTGTTTGGTGGAGTTAAAGCAATGTCCCAAGATTCACTCAGTATGACAGGATTCACTCAGTGTGACAGGATTCACTCAGTGTCACAAGATTCACTACAGTGTCCCAATAGTCACTACAGTGTCACAAGATTCACTCAGTGTCACAAGATTCACTCAGTGTCACAAGATTCACTCAGTGTCACAAGATTCACTACAGTGTCACAAGATTCACTCACAGTCACAAGATTCACTAAAATGTCACAAGAGTCACTACAGTGTCACAAGATTCACCCAGTGTCACAAGATTCACTTCAGTGTCACAAGATTCACTACAGTGTCACAAGATTCATTACAGTGTCACAAGATTCACTCAGTGTTACAAGATTCAGTCAGTGTCACAAGAATCACTCAGTGTCACAAGACTCAATACAGTGCCACAAGATTCACTCAGTGTCACAAGATCCACTACGGTGTCACAAGAGTCACTACAGTGTCACAAGATTCACTCAGTGTCACAAGTGTCACTACAGTGTCACAAGATTCACTCAGTGTCACAAGATTCACTCAGTGTCACAAGATTCACTACAGTGTCACAAGTGTCACTACAGTTCACAAGATTCAATCAGTGTCACAGGAGTCACTACGGTGTCACAAGAACCACTCGGTGTCACAAGATTCACTACAGTGTCGCAAGATTCACCACATTGTCCCAAGAGTCACTGTAGCTTTCAGTTTAACATTCAATATATGTATGGTGTCCTGTCCGTACTGCCAGAGGTACAACTAAGTTTCCTTCTGACCAACGCGCAAAAGCGGACATTTAGGTCCACATCTAATATAATGTGCATCAAATATTGAGATACATTTCAATTCGTTGATGGGTTCAAGAGTAGAGTCACAGTAAAACTTATACAACAAAGCAATCAACTGCTGTCAATCTTTAAATCTCTACCTGAGAGTGTTAAAAAATGAAATAAGTAAATGTATATAATACATGAAACTTTTGAAAAGAAGACATCTCCTATGGATCGCTGCATGTTAGACTTGTATTCGATTATCAGAAGGCGGACCAATGTGTATTATCAAATCTGAATTAAGGTAACTGATGATTTTATCACTTTAAACGGGTTCCTGGAAGTGAAGACTACAGCAAAGGTGAACAAAATGATCGTCTCTACAATGAAATAGTTGTGGTCATTTATCCATTTTTCTTACCCAAAATTACATTGAAATAGTTGTCTTGTATACATTTTTGCTACCCAAATCTACACTGAAAAAGCTGTCGTAGTATGCCGATTTTTTCAACACAAATGTATTAATTTGATGACTTCAGTGGAAAAATTTTGACCGCAAAGAGACACCCCTTAAAGAACATTGGAGGTTACCGTAATCTAACATTCTATAAATTGCCAATGCATCAGTCTTAAAATAAAAAAAAATGAATATTGCATTAGTAATAGAACAGCTTGTTAAACATATAAATAAAGAAGACATGGGCACCTCGATGTGTTCATTCTGATAATATCCAAATATCTCCACTACTTAGTATTTTATAGTCACATTTACAATTACTTAGAATAACGATCCTTGTATGTATTCCCACTAATTAGTTTGACATTACTCCTCCACTTCCATGACTTACTATAACATTACACTAAAATGCAATTACTCAAATACCTATATAAATTACTATGACAGTGCCCCTCTACTTCCATGACATACAATGAAATTACTCCTATACTTTCATGAATTACTATGACATTACTCCTATACCTCCACGACTTACTCGGATTCTCCAGATTTCTCACTCTCTGAGAGGACCTCACTCTGCTCGATTTCAAGAACAGTCCCTTCCTTTGCCTTCTCTTCCTGCTCAACTTCCGGCTCGGAAACAACTTCAGGTTCCTGATACCGGGGGACAATGAAGAAATGCCCCATGTCGCTCAAATTCCAACTGTTGACGATTTCCTCATCCACAACCGTCGGCACGTCACACACCACCCTATAGCTGTGGTTGATCCTGTCGTAGTGCCTCTGGATTTCGGGGTAGGCCAGAGTGCTGCTCTTGGCATGGTTAAACTTCTTTCTGGTGGAACACTTCATCTCTAGCACGGGACGAACTGATTCAAGTGCTAATGATTTTTCTTTGACTGACTTCTCAGAATAAATCGTGACTTTTCTATGACATGCGGGCAAATGATGTTTAGGAATCAACACGGACTCGAACATAGTTCGTGCATCTTGGGTCTCCCTCGAAAATTCTTCTCCAGTCATCAACACGTCTTCACGTTTCTGCAATTCTTTTTTTCTCTGGTTGTGTAGCATTGCAACCGCGCTCTCACAATCCTGTTCCATTTTATAGTTGTCTAAGCATCGATTTTTCTATTGGTAAGTACGAAAATATTATAAAATAATACAATTATACAGAATTATTTTAAAATTTAATGTTGTATTTCTGACAACACAATCGAGCAATGGTTGAGCGTGTCTGTTTAGAATGGCTCCCTCCATTTACTTCATATTATATAACATTTTATTTAATATTACTGAATTTACTTGCTTTGCTTTATAAAATTTCAATTTTTAACTTCTTGTTGTAAATAGGAATATTTTTTTAATGAATACATTTCAATTCGTTAAAAAAAAATCGTGCCATTGTAGTTTACCTTAAATCTGAACCGTAGCAAATGGAACTTAGAAATATATACTCTCTACTGCTAATTTTAACAGTCATACCACAACGACAATGGAAAAAAATGTTTTCAAAAACAAATTGTATGCACAGTAATTTACTGCTGCCAAAGCTGGCTAAATCTATTATTCTTTTTACAGATGGTAGTCTGCTGCATGAATCAGAACTCGTCGAAAGATACCTGGACGGACAGTCAGTCTATAACGTGTTTGTTTGGAGCAGGTGGACGGAAGGCAAATAAGAATCCACGTGACTTGAAACGCATGTCCAAAAATAATGTCAACATACCAAGACAGTGACCATTTTACTCATGTCCAAAATAATGTCAACATACCAAGACAGTGGAAGTTTTACCCATGTCCAAAATAATGGCAACATACCAAGGCAGTGGCCGTTTTACCCATGTCCAAAATAATTACAATATACCAAGACAGTTGCCGTTTTACCCATGTTCAAAATAATAGAAACATACCAAGACACTGGTGGTTTTACCCATGTCCAAAATAATGTCAATATACCAAGGCAGTTGCCGTTTTACCCATGTCAAAATAATGTCAACATACCAAGGCAGTGGCCGTTGTGCTACTTCTTAAACTCTTCTTCTTAAAGCCGATTCCATGAGTCTCGACATTGTTAGGATCAGTTATCCATCTCTGATCCTTGCTCAGCAAATTTCTCCACAGAGGTCGTTTATCAAAAGAAAACGTTCTAGAGAAACATACAATGAAATGAATTAGAATATAATATTACTAATTTGCTTGTATCTTCATTCTGTGATTTCCACTAGTTCATAAAATGCAACAACATATTGTAGATGCCGAGTGAGCACTCGGGATGTACCAATTGTGTCTTGGTGGCTATTAGTTTATAATAGTATCCGGCCATACGTTAATTTTGCTGTCTAAGTGGAATATATCTAATTGCCGAACTTTGAAAAATGTTCCCGATTTTCTTTGTATCCCACAAAGCATACGGCATTTAAGCAGTTAAAATAATAAGATATCCACGTTCCGAAATCAGATACATAGAAATATTTAATGATATCAATGAATTAGTATGTCATACTTACTGACTCTTGCTGCGAGTCTCCATTTATAGGTTTAAACGTCAAACGAGATTTGTTAGTCCTGAAACCCTGTCAAATATTTTGGCTTAGATTGTTGAATCGAAGATTTGAATTCTTACACACACACACACACAAACACATACAGCTCAATGATTTTGTGAAACTAACACATGATTACATCTTTAAAATGAGTTGTAATAGTTCATCATCCTTTGGATTATTGCTGAAATCAGGTACTCCAGAATTTACTTTGATAACGAGATATGTTTCGATAATGCCAATATAAATCCGTCTACTTTTGGTTGCCAAACATGTTTTCCCTTGGATTAGCTGAACTCTGTGCTATGACTTATCGTGTTTTGGACATTCACTGGGACATATGTAAATGACCTGTGTTATTCGCACCGTATGACTCTGTTCTTGTGTGTTTGAAACCGCGAACGTTGGCGCTAACCAGCAATCAAAGGATTAGAGGAGGGAATCCCAAGCCGTTCTCGTCAACAGTTGGAGTTCTCAGACAGGCGAACTATATTTAGTATAATGCAATGGTCATGTTTAAAATATATTTTTTATAATAATGTAAGATAAATTATTTCAGGGGAAACTGCAAGATCAAGGTGCATGAGATCTGTGTTGAATGCAAGCATTGATTGATACTTTTAGTCTACTGAAATGTCTATACACATGATATGTCTGTTGAAGGCAAGCATAGATTTATTCTCTCAGTCTAATACAAATTATTTGTGCATTATACGTTTGTTGTATGCAAGCATGTAAATAACATGAACTATAGCTATTAAATATGTTTTAAATGGCATGGCTTATTACCGCTAATCACCTATATTTTGCTATTAAAATAATGTGCACAGCTATGGCTCTGCTAGTCCAATACATAGACATCTGAATAGCATACCTCTTTGCAAGTAAACTACTTATGCCAGCTTTTCAATCCTTGGATCACCCTTTCGATTTACGATCATTTTATCTAGGGGAAAGTGAAAGTGGTTTACACCGTCCCATTCATTTACTCTTGTAATCGGCAATGGTTCCCCTTGAGACCATTGAGCATATGCTAGGAACACAGACACATGAACTCATTGACGAATGGAACATGAAACAAAATTATGTCGTCGTTAAACTTAGATTATTAAAATATGGAACCACAAGCATAGCAAATGTTATTGTTGCCATGGGGGGTCAGAAATCGTGCAAGTTTTAGAGCCACTGCCTTAAAAAAAAAGCAAAAACTTTGATTCTAGACACTTTGGCTAACACACCACCAATGTATGTCAATCAGGAACTGTCATAACACTCTTCTATTATGTCGGTCGAATGTTCAATGCGTGGGGTTCCTGGGCCCGACGAGAGTTCAAACGATCTGTTATTGTAGCTAATGGTCAAAATAAGCGGGTGTTTGGTTAGGTTAGAGACTTGTGGAGTCGGGGAACTGACAGATAATAGGGATTGTTGTCTAACTGGTGATAGGAAACTGTTCAAGTCCGATAGGCTCAAAAGCTGGATATGCCTACGGAGAATTGTTATGATAAATACTTTTTTTTCTACAAACAAATGTAGTTGTTAAAAGATTAAAATTTAATATATTTTTTTTCAATACTTAAGTCTATAAAAAGAAACATATACCCTGAAGTATGTTTCACGAGAGTAAAACTGTTTTGTAAATGATACAATTTTAAGTTAAAGTGGGTAATGTTTACAAAATTTAAATACCTATTATGCAAGAGATGTTACATCTTTTTTTTTTTTTTTTTCAAAGTTGAAATGGTAAATCATCGCAAATAAGATAAATCTAATTCCAATGAGATTTAATTATTATTTTAACCAAATATGCAGGCGTTTTCAAAATTTCTACAAACAAATGTAGTTGTTAAAAGATTAAAATTTAATATATTTTTTTTCAATACTTAAGTCTATAAAAAGAAACATATACCCTGAAGTATGTTTTACGAGAGTAAAACTGTTTTGTAAATGATACAATTTTAAGTTAAAGTGAGTAATGTTTACAAAATTTAAATACCTATTATGCAAGAGATGTTACATCTTTTTTTTTTTTTTTTTTTCAAAGTTGAAATGGTAAATCATCGCAAATAAGATCAATCTAATTCCAATGAGATTTAATTATTATTTTAACCAAATATGCAGGCGTTTTCAAAAATATTTATTACTACCCACGAAAAAGGAAACACTATTTGGCTTACCAAATATTTTATGTGGAGCTCAATCAAATTTAACACATGGTGCTGTTAAGGATGACAACTAAAATAAGACTTGTTGCTATTCACTGAGGTTCAAACACCTCCAGATAATTTTTAAATTCTTTTTATTTTTCAAATTAAAATACATAGTTTCCTGAATATTCAATTAATGTATGTCTGTTTCCTTCAGCACTGTCACAAAATTTTACTCAGATGAACACAACAAAGGTTTACTTCCGTTCAAAAGCGCAAATGTAAACCAAAATTTATTCAATAATGAAACAATTCCTAAGTACCAAAATTTAAGTCTTTCATATGCATATTTTATTTTTCATTTTATAATAATATTCTAATGTCCACCCGTTTTTACACCACATATTTATTTATCAACTATTTCAGAAAAAACAAAAGAAAATATTACGCAGCAATCGCACTTGCCATATTTGTTTTTAATTAATGTAATTTAGCACAGTTATGGGGAAATGTATTTTTATCTTTCCCTTGTACAACAGCTAAAACTGATCATTGGGGGTTGGGGTAGGGGCTTCGACTGAACATTTTATAGAATGTGATGTCATCGGCAACGAGTCTACCCGTATGAAAGTTTTGTAGAATTAATTTAGACACCCCCCCCCCCCAACTAATTATATTTAAAGGACCATTGTGTATGTTTAAAATACATTTTGGTGAACGTTTTTAACCAATTTTCAGATGAAACCAACTCAATTGAAAAGGACAGCTTCATTTTGGCTAAATCGCACATTCATTTCATCCACTATAACCACAAGGACGAAAACACAACGAGAAACAGCATCTGAACAACAAGGAAAAGTGGCAACACGGCATGTTTATTAAACTTAGACAATATCACAAATTTTAGTCCAATATATCAAGCGCCTTGTCCTGCAAACTGTTCACACATTAGCCAGCTCCACTAATAAGATTAACCAACTTGTAAATCGGCTGTTTAGATAAAGTCAAGATTTAGTAAAGACATTTAACACATAGTTTCAATAAAGGGTACGCATAAAAGTATAGTAAATACTTATGTTGAGAGTCTTTTTAACAAAATCTAATACAAACGGTAATTGGATTATGAAAGAAGGTTATATTTGGGGTGGATGGGTGAGACATTAGGTGGGGTTGAATGGGGATAATTGGTATGGGTGAATGAGCTTATTGTGTATGGATTCATGACGTCAAGGGCCAGCGCCGTCTTGCAGTCCATAAGTTTTAAAATCTGACTTAAGAGGCGTGAAAATTTGTCAAGCATGTCACACAGCTACAGCAATGTTTGTACAAGGCGAATCAACTTAGTCGTGCAGCATGGCTGGAAGCTAAAGAGAGCCTGTTCAAGACGAATTAACTGACGTATGCATCAAGGCACACAACTACAGAAATTCTGTACAAGACTAATTGACTTAATTGTTCATAACGGGTGAAAGCTAAATAAATTCTTTACAAGACTAATTGACCTATATGTTCATAACGGCTGAAAGCTAAAGAAATTATGTACAAGACTAATTGACTTAATTGTGCATAACGGCTAAAAGCTAAAGAAATTATGTGCAAGACTAATTGACTTAATTGTGCATAGCGGCTAAAAGCTAAGGAAATTCTGTATAAGACTAATTAACTTATTTGTGCTTGCTTCGTGGCTGAAAACTATAGAAAACCTGTACAAGACTTCTTAAATTGTGCATTGTGTCATAAGGGTAAAGACAGTCTGTACAAGGCTAATTAACTTTCTTGTGCATCATGTCACAAAGCTACAGAAAGTCTTCACAAAACAAAACAAAAAATGCCTATCGCCAAGAAAGTCTGTACAAGACACAAAAGTCGTATGGTCATGAAAGTTTGTACAAGACACAAAAGTCGTAACGTCATGAAAGTCTGTACAAGACACAAAAGTCGTAACGTCATGAAAGTCTGTACAAGACACAAAAGTCGTATCGTCATGAAAGTCTGTAAAGACACAAAAGTCGTAACGTCATGAAAGTCTGAATAAGACACAAAAGTCGTATGGTCATGAAAGTCTATACAAGACACAAAAGTCGTAACGTCATGACAGTCTGTACAAGACACAAAAGTCGTAACGTCATGACAGGATGTGACGGACAGAAATATTGATAGTCCAAAGATGGCAAGGGGAGATAACGAGATAACACTGCAATTACCTTCGCATGTCATGAGATTGCCCCTGCTGACGTTGTGATAACCCACTGGGCAAGTCCGTCCCTGTACACACACGTAGCGTGGCTCGTTGCTATGGAGATTCAAGTGAAGAACCATTAGATCATGTACAGCTTATTTTTTTTTTCGCTTGATTCTTCAATTGTAGATTTTATTTAATTCTCCAAATCTTTCTGGTTTTTGTGTTTTTATTTATTTTTGTAACCTTCGTATCTCTAATATCTCTACCATTGTTTCGTATTTCACCCACTTAACTATCTCTCTCTAACATATCTCGCACTGTTTCTTAGCTTCTTTCACCCACTAATCTCTTTCTAATATATCTTTCACTGTTTCTTATTTCTCTAATTTCACACACGAATCTCTTGCTAATATCTCTTTAAAGTCACTCTTACAAATCTATGTCAACTATTTTTTAATCGCTCTAACTATGTAATATCACTTATCTCTCTATCTCTCTTATCTCTCTTTCTTCCTTTTTGTCTATTTATTTCTCTGTTACACACACTGACTCATGATCTCTCAATATTTCTCTTTCTATACATGATCAATTTCACCGCCCAATGAAAATAACTGCTTTTAAGGCTATAGCCATTTTAGAAGCTAACTGACTAGAAGCTAGCTGACTGGATGCAAAATGGCATGAAGCTGACTTGAAGCTAACTGACTAGACTCTAACTTACTGGAATCTAAGTGACTTGATTCTAACTGGCTGGAAGTTAACTGACTGCAGGTTATTTGACTGGATGCTGACTTTTTGGAAGCTGACTGACAGAAGCTAAATGGCTGGAAGTTAACTGGCTGGAGGCTAACTGGCTGGAGTTTAACTGGCTGGAATTTAACTGACTAAAAGCTAACTATATTGAAGCTTACTTACTGGAAAATTACTGAAAGCTAACTGACTGGTATTTATTTATTTACTTATTTAGGCATTTTTATATACCGCTTACCTTAAAGCTCTAAGCGCTTTACAATTATTAAAAACATGTAAACTAAGTAAAATGAAAATGAGACACTAGATAGTAACTACTATACTATAGAAACAATTAAAATGGCTATAAAACGAGGACACTTTGGCACGTTTGGCCTATACTACAGGATCAACCCGAGACAGAAAATGAGGCAGGGCAAGGAGGGTGCATCACAGGTCATAGGCGGACCTAAACAGATGGGTTTTAAGGGACTTTTTAAAAGTGGACGAGGTTTCACAATGACGGATATGGAAGGGGAGCTGGTTCCAGAACGTGGGCCCATGGAAGTAGAAGGAGCGTTCACCGATGGTCTTAGTTTTGGTATCTAACTGACTGGAAGCTGACTGAACGCTAACTTACTGAAGGAGAACTGAGTGGAAGCTAACTGACTAGACGCTGACTGTGGAAGTTAAATAACAAGAAGATAATTGACTAGTAGCTGACTGTCAAGAAGTTAACTGACTAAAAGCTTACTGACTAGCAACTGACTTGGAGCTAACTGACTAGAAGCTAATTGACTAGAAGCTAACTCACTTGTAGCTAATAGAATGAAAATTAATTGTCAAGAAGCTAACTGACTAGAAGCTAATTGACTAGCAACTGTCTGGAAGCTAACTGACCAGAAGCTAACTCACCTCACTGGAAGCTAACAGAATGGAAACTGACAAGAAGCTGACTGACTAGAGGCTAACTGACTAGAAGCTAACTGACTAGAAGCTAACTGACTAGAAGTTAGCTGATTAGAAGCAAACTGACTAGAAGCTAACTGACTAGAAGTAAACTGACTAGAAGTTAACTGACTAGAAGCTAACTGACTAGAAGCTGACTAGAAGCAAACTGACTAGAAGCAAACTGACTAGAAGCTAACTGACTAGAAGCTAACTGACTAAAAGCTAACTGACTAGAAGCTAACTGATTAGAAGCAAAATGACTAGAAGCTAACTGACTAGAAAGCAAACTGACTAGCAGCGAACATGAGATTCCAGTCAGAAGGTCAACAAAAGGTCGATATTTTCACTCTCCACAGACAGTAGTTGAAGCAGCCTTTGCCTATTACACGCTAAGGGCATCTATTTAAAAAAAAAGAGAAAAAAAGAACAGTCTCCCCTATTTCACTTCCAATCAACTCGACGCTGCCCTTAACTGGGGGGGTCGTTATAAAATCGAATAAAAGAGATCAATTATTCTCACGAGTTGATGGTTGTTTTGGGGTTAAATGTGAAGGAGACAAAAATGTAGAGAGTTTATTGTATTTTTAAATAAAATAAACTTTTATTTGTGAAATTAATAATAAGTTATCATTTCGAAGTAACGTTTTTAAATTATAAGAAGTACAACATAGGCGTGGTTGTGGAGGGTCAGAGGAAAGCCTGTTGGAGGGGAAGGGTATAGCAGCGTGGAGCTAATGGCAGAGTGAAGGGCGTAGCTGTCGCGGATGGTACAGCAGAGTGGAGAGTAGAGCATAGGAGTAGTTATGGCGGTGAAGAGTATAGAAGAGTAAAGGGTATGGAAGGGTGTAGAGAGGGAGAGAGATGGGGAAGAGTTAAATACAATTTATATAAATATATATATATATATATATAATTTATACATATATATATAATTTATATATATATTATATATATATATATATATAGAGAGAGAGAGAGAGAGCGATAGAGAGAGAGAAAAAATTTCAATTGAAAGAATTGTAAAAACAAGAGAAACGAATCGCTTCATTTCTGTAATTACTTTGCAGTTACCTACACAACAAGGTTATTTATATACTCGGCTACGGTCTCTAGAGGACATTTTTTTGGCAGTTTATGTTTACACTTTTGTTTCAAATGTAATTTTAAATCACATATTTGATAATAGATCTCTCTCTCTCTCTCTCTCTCTCTCTCTCTCTCTCTCTCTCTCTCTCTCTCTCTCTCTCTCTCTCTCTCTCTCTCTCCCATTTTTGTTCCACAGAAATTTCAATTCCTTTGTTTCTGTATTGAGTGATATATTTAATAGATCTCTCTCTCTCTCTCTCTCTCTCTCTCTCTCTCTCTCTCTCTCTCTCACTCTCTCTCTCTCTCTCTCTCTCTCTCCCAATTTTGTTCCACAGAAATTGCAATTCCGTTGTTTCTGTATTGAGTGAAATATTGATTTAACATTTCAACCTCAGTTTCAAAATTAGATAATAACGTCAAATCTCTTCTTCTTTTTTACTTGAGGACCTGACACTTGAAATGAGAGTAAAAAGACGGGTAGAGAGGGAGGGAGGGAGTGAGAGAGAGAGAGGAGTTAGGGAGAGAGAGAGAGACTGCGAGAAAGAGAGCGGGGTACAAAATATAATCTAAAGAGAACATACATAAATAAATGTATTTGGTTTAACCAGTGGTAGGCAAACAGATGATTACAAGAGAGCAAACAATCCGCAGCAGGACGATTACACTTTTTTGAGAACCTGTCAAGATCAATGTTTTTCGGAGTCAAAACCGATTTGTGGTCGACTGGGTGAGCCGCACTCAGGTCCTTAAAGAGCCGCATGTGGCTCGCGAAAAGCGATTTGCCGACCACTATCTTAGACCATGATTGGGAGATGTTGAGAGTTTGTAAAGAAGAAAATTGGGAAACTGATGTCCGATTCCGATATAATTGGATAACTTCGAAAACTTCTGGTAGACAATTGGCATAATAAAGTCATTATGGGAAATTTAATGAGGTGATGAACTGAACAGAGGTCTATGAGGCATTCATTGATATACTAATGGAAAGAAAGGAAAACATCAAATACAAAAAAATTAATTTGTGACGGGTTCATAGAATGTGATTGGCAGAAGGATAAATAGAGGCAGGAAAGAATGGGGAATGGATGGGGGAAGAATTACGAAAATCCAGTAAGGATATAAACGTAAAGAAAGTGTAGTGCTGATGAAAAGAAACAAAGTTATGGCAAGAAATACACATGATTTTCCTTCATTTCAAAATTTCACAAGTTAAAATACTACACAAGAGGATTTTTTGACATAGTTTTCTGTGGGGTAAAATGCCCATTTCATATTATCGATTTTCTCCAATTCATCTGCCACCACATTGCCAAACTGACCCAGCCCGCCCCAATTTCCCCACCAGCTACCCACAATAGACGTCCTGTTAAGTGAGGTTGGAGTCAGTTCTTAACAAGGCGTTGTTACCGACTCTAGGGTCAATTTAATGTCATCCTTGCTAGTCTTCAGATGCTTTGCAGGGAGTCCAAAAGTCCAAGGCGGGAGGTTTTTATAGTACATGTCGGAATTCTCGTAGTGTAAATAAATGTTTAGTTACGTTACATAATATAAAATACTAGAGCTCAACCAGTGCAGTAATTTTTAACACAAGGTCCCAGTTTTTTGTTGTTGTTTTTTCAATAGAAAATACCCGTAGGGTCCAAGTGTTACAAAAAAGAGAGTTAACTTCTCATTTTCTATAATACATGACGGCATTTAAACAATAGGCCTACAGATATTTCAACACCCTACCAGCCAGCCTTTAAACAATAGTCCTACAGACAGTCCTACACAATCCTACCCCCTACCTGCAGGCCTTTTAACAATAGTCCAACAGACAGTCCTACAGATATTCCTACAACATGCCAATGGCCCCTCGTTGATTAATATAATAGTCGCCTCCTCCTAAAGAAAAAAAATCAACATATTTTCCGAAGTTCAACCGTCACGTATGACGCTAGCTGCGTGACAGCCTTTTTTCTGTCAGTACTGTTTATATAAAACATGTGGTGCTTGGGGTGGGCGGCGGTTCCGAATAGGAAGCAGGACGCACCAGAAGCAAAAAATATATATAAGAGATGATATAAAAGTAGCATCTCACATGTCTATGGTTCCAGAAATGGTTAGCCCTTTATAGACGTAGTCGGACGTCTTGTTCTGGGGACTACGTCTGTAGTAACGGTTGACAGTGGGCAGGTAGCCATCTTCACAGAATATGCAACCCTGGCATCCCACTACGGCGTTTGCATAGACATCGTGCTGGCAGTGGTCTGGTGGGTTTGGGCACGGGACTGAAGACAAAATACAAGCGAAATAAAGTGTCCATCGGGGCTTGCAGATTTAGGGGTTCATTTGAAACATGTAACATTGAAAAGACGGGGCCTTGAAAAACATGGGGTCTTGATAGAGATGGGACCTTGAAAGAGATGGGTTTTTTTTTAATAAATGGGGTCTTGAAAGAGATGGGTTTTTAAATAGATGGGGTCTTGAAAGATGTTGGGCCTTGAAAGAAATGAGGTCTTGAAAGATGGGACCTTGAAAGAGATGGGTTTTAAAAGAAATGGGGTCTTGAAAGGTGTGGAGTCTTGAATAAAATGGGGTCTTGAAATAGATGGGACCTTGAAAGAGATGGGTTTTAAAAGAAATGGGGTCTTGAAAGAGGTTGGGTCTTGAAAGAAATGGGGTCTTGAAAGAGATGGGACCTTGAAAGAGATGGGTTTTAAAAGAAATGAGGTCTTGAAAGGGGTGGAGTCTTGAACGAAATAGGGTCTTGAAAGAGGTGGGGGTCTTGAAAACGATGGGACCTTGAAAAAGATGGGTTTTGAAAGAAATGAGGTCTTGAAATAGGGAGGGTCTTGAAAGAGGTGGGGTCTTAAAGAGAGAAGGTTTTCAAAGAGATGGTGTCTTGAAAGAAATGGGGTCTTGAAAAATGTGAGGCCTTGAAAGAGACGGGACCTTGATGAACTCTACAAAATCAATACCACAAACAACTCAAGTTATCTAGATGTCACATCATGCTACAAGCATGATGGCGCAAATAATACTGCCACGTTTTTACTTTACCAATGCGTATTTCATATGATTTGTTTTATTTTATTTTTTTTTTAAAATAAGAATTCAAGAAGAACTTTTCAGTTGCAAAAAAAAAAAGTGTTTGCATCACTTACTCCCTGAAGTGGCGCAATGAGATTCCTCATTGCCGTTAGCTAGGGTCGTCTTGGTAAGACGGAAGCCCAAGATACACCCGTCGCATTTGGAAAAACTCTGACAGGTCTGGCAACCTTGACCGCAGTCTGTGAAGGGCAGGGGGAGGGAGGGGTAATTTCTTGTATCACAATTACCATGTAGTTATATTTAATTCACCAGACATCGATGTTATAAACTTGATAGTATGCCATTAAAAAAAATAATAATAAATTTGATCATCTACAAATATATCCCCATATTTTTGTGTGAGGTTAAATATTTTGAACAAATGCAACACTAAGACAAGATTCAGAAACCGTACATCCCAAAACTGGTAACCGGGAAAGTATGTAAATTACAGTTAAAGTAAAATGAAAAATAAAAAACAGGAATAAAAAGCAGCACAAATAATACAGCAGTCACACCTTGAGTAGTATTTCTTAAGTTTTAGGCATTTGGTGATTTGGTTTTGTTAGGGTGGATGTAAAGTATACTATATTTGAATTAATGCCGTTGGATGTAAAAGTATAAGTTATTTGACTTATTGCCGACATTTGGCATTTGGCGTACATGAGCATGACTCGATGGATCCCATTTTATCCAGGAAGTGGCCCCAGGGGCACGTTGTTCCGGGCTCACAAAGCCACTGGGGCTCTGACCTGGGGATTATAAGGAAGACATAAATGTAATGCTAAGACGTATATGTATTTTTTGTTTATCCAACTCATTCCATTTTTCTCCGAAATACTGTTTTTGAGACAGCTGGTATGGGCTAACTGAATACTACAATAATCAACATTCTACAACCATCAACATTCTACAACCATCAACATTCTACAACCATCAACATTCTACAACCGTCAACATTCTACAACCGTCAACATTCTACAACCGTCAACATTCTACAACCGTCAACAACATTCTACAACCGTCAACATTCTACAACTGTCAAAATACTACAACCGTTAACGAGAAATGCTTTCGAAAATTTTACATATAGATTTTCTGACATCTCAAACTTGTGTGCACTGACACTTGCTAATCTCTACATATTACACAAACAGAGATAAATAAAGATATCAGTATCGTTGATTTCATCACTACTCCTTAGTCACTAGACTGTTGCCACTTGCCTGTCTTCGAAAATGCGTACAGGCATGTAAGATCAAAACAAGCCTCATAATTTCGAATAACTATTTAGAGTCACGGTAAGATATAATAATATGACATAATCTCATTTTAGTTTCATTATATTTCGCTGCTCCTCTTACTTTCAATGCGTTACAAATAAGGCACCACTTAAGCTACATCACATATTTAAATTACCTAAAAGAAATATGTTTTTCTTTATTTTAAGAATGATTATTTCTATCAATTGAATATGGATGATAAAAATAGCAGTGTAAGTAGAGTAGAGTAGTATAGGAGCCAGAATGATCAATTCATTGATGGTGGGCCCTCAAAATAAAGAAGAAGAAAGAAGAAGAAGAGTATGTTTTTTTATAAAGGCTGATATAAATCACATGTCCACCTCACAAAAAGATAAAGATATTGGAAAAAAAAGTACATGAAAAAAATAGTTATAATATTTATTGTATAAAAAATACTCTACGATCTTGATCGTATTAGAAAAATGTTAAAATCGTGAACTCTATCCTCACGTTTAAAACAAGGATGATGACTCTTAAAATGTCATTGTTTGTTGACTGAATGAGTCCGTGGAATTTTAGTTTAGCTTCATTATTGCCTGGAAGGTATCAACGTTATTACAGAGGGCAAGGCTAATATTGTGGCAAATATCCAATACCATTTCTTGTGTATGTTTCAAATTTAAGTCTGATTAAAGGTAACTCTAAAATAATGGTTACAAATACATTAAAATGAGAATGCGATCATTAAGTTTTACTCCTTGAAACATTGGTTGATTTGCCTTAAAAACAAATTTTTATTTCCAGTATTTACTATTATCATCATCACTATTATTTTTATTGTTAATATTTTAAAAGGTAATACTGTGAATACATCTCATACACAGTCTCTACACCCTTTAATTATCCCAACATCCGCGTGTTAGCTTTATCCCAACAGCTTCATTTCAGCTGTCTTTATGACTACATTCAGGTATCAATGCATGCTTACACGTTCTTGGAGTTGTCTATCAATATCCCCTTGTAGTCGTAGTGTCCGACGAGGCTCCCGGTGGTGACGTAATACCTCGCGTTGGCCGTCATAATGTATCCAGGTTGGCAGCCCGTCTGACAACCCAAGCAACCCAAGTCTTGTACAACCACGTTGAATGTTTCTAGCATGCAGTGCGTGGCTGGTCGGGGACATGGTGCTTTTCACATGTCAGTTAAGAAAGTTGATTATAATGTTGTTGTTGTTGGTCGGGGACATGGTGCTATTCAAATGTCAGTTAAGAAAGTTGATTATAATGTTGTTGTTGTTGGTCGGGGACATGGTGCTATTCAAATGTCATTTAAGAAAGTTGATTAAAATGTTGTTGTTGTTGGTCGGGGATATGGTGCTATTCAAATGTCATTTAAGAAAGTTGATAGTAATGTTGTTGTTGTTGGTCGGGGACGTGGTGCTATTCAAATGTCATTTAAGAAAGTTGATTATAATGTTGTTGTTGTTGGTCGGGGACATAGTGCTAGTCAAATGTCATTTAAGAAAGTTGATAGTAATGTTGTTGTTGTTGGTCGGGGATATGGTGCTATTCAAATGTCATTTAAGAAAGTTGATTATAATGTTGTTGTTGTTGGTCGGGGACATAGTGCTAGTCAAATGTCATTTAAGAAAGTTGATAGTAATGTTGTTGTTGTTGGTCGGGGATATGGTGCTATTCAAATGTCATTTAAGAAAGTTGATTATAATGTTGTTGTTGTTGGTCGGGGACATGGTGCTATTCAAATGTCATTTAAGAAAGTTGATTAAAATGTTGTTGTTGTTGGTCGGGGATATGGTGCTATTCAAATGTCTTTTAAAAAAGTTGATTGTAATGTTGTTGTTGTTGGTCGGGGACATGGTGCTATTCAAATGTCAGTTAAGAAAGTTGATTATAATGTTGTTGTTGTTGGTCGGGGACATGGTGCTATTCAAATGTCAGTTAAGAAAGTTGATTATAATGTTGTTGTTGTTGTTGGACTGGGACATGGTGCTATTCAAATGTCAGTTAAGAAAGTTGATTGTAATGTCGTTGTTTTTTTAAATACTGATGACATTTTTGATCAGTTGATACAGCAAATCATTCAACTTTTTTTTTAGTGAATGTGAACTTACTGTTGACATTGACAGATAAAGGATCTGTCCTTATCCACACTTGACCAGGATCTACCAGTAAGATGGGTTATTGTTTTCAAAATTCTATGCACATCAGTTGATATGGAACAAATGTTGTTTTCATCAAAACGATGAAAATTAGGGGACATCATATGGAGCAAATGGACTACGTGAACCAAGAAGTGGTAGGTAAGTGGACCAGGAGGTGATATGTAAGTGGACCAGGGGGTGGTAGGTAAGTGAATCAGGGGTTGATAGGAAAGTGGACAAGGAGGTGGTATGTAAGTGAACCAGGGGGTGATAGGTAAGTAGACAAGGAGGTGGTAGATAATTGGACCAGGAGGTGACAGGTAAGTGCACTAGGAGGTGGTAGGTAAGTGGACCAGGAGGTGGTAGGTAAGTGAACCGGGAGAGCAAGTAGGTAAGTGGACCAGGAGATGGTAGGAAAGTGGAACATGAGGTGGTAGGTAAGTGGACCAGGAGGTGATAGGTAAGTGGACTAGGAAGTGTTAGCTCAGTGGATAAGGATGTTGTGGGCAATTTTGAACAGGAAGTTGTGGGTAAGTGGACCAAGAGTTTTTGGTAAAGTGGTCCAGGAGGGTGAGAGAAAGTGAAGCATGAGTCAGTATGCAAGTAGATTCAGTGGCATAGTAAAGGTCTTGGCGGGTGGAGCGGATGTTCCTAAGTGCCAGACTAGTTAGGGATTCCAAAATGGACATTGATGGAATGTCATTGATGAAAATAATAGGTTTCAGAATTAAAAGTGGTTTCAAAATATATATCTTATCCTGGGGCTTCAAACCCTCTACCTAAGCATCTGAGTGGATAAGGAGGTGGTTGGCTTGTCGAAATGGCCCTGAAAAATTACCTTCTTACATGTTGTCTAAAGAAAATGGACAGATTGCCTTTACCTACTGCAATTAACTTACTCGAGCATCATGGTACAAACCTTCAGAAAGTCTATACACCACTAAATAACTTACTTGTCTATCATGTGTATTTAATTCTGTGGGTGGGAAAGGTGATCTAATGACAGCAACGGTTTGATCGACCTTTTCGTTTTCTTCTTTACTCATTGTTCATGAATAAAAATGACGGGTGAAGTAGAATACCAACAAATATTAACTGCATAATATTTCATTTTTTTCTTGTATGCATATAATTTTTTTTAGTAACCAATAAATTTATTCATATTTTATGATTTGCAAGAAACACTGATTCATCACTTATAACATGTTTAATTAAATCACCTGTGGGTCCATCAAGCAAGAATGACCAGACGTTAGACTCGTATAAACAGAGATGAAATAACCCAAATAAGACGGCCCGCAAAACGTGGAAAGTGTCCATATTGTAAGCAATGGTGCCAGAAATGGGTCACCATGTCTGTGCGATGTCGGCAGACACGATGAGATAGAACTCTGCTTATCTTCTCAGCACGTCGTCGTTTCCCAGTCTGTGTCTTGACCTTTGCCAGACTAATGTGTTATGTCATTTGAAAAAGAGCGCGTGCACAAGGGGTGCTGTCGTTATAGAGACAAACCTTTACCAAACAGGGGTCGGAATAGACCAAAAATGTCTGCACCGGTTAACACGCAGTCATTACTTTATAAAGGTCACCGGAAATTTGATCGAAAGAAATTTCGTCGACGGTAAATTGATCGACGGAAATTTGACCGAACGGAATTTTGGTCGAATCATTGTTTCAGTTCACACGTTAAAATTGTCGCATAATTTTGTTTAACTATTTAGTATAGTGCGTTCAAAAAGAAATTTGAAGCAAAATTTTAAAGTAAAAATTGTCGACGAAATTTCTTTCGATCAAATTTCCGGATACGCTTTATTAATGTTCACGCCATGTTATTTATGTAACTTAAGATTCCATTTTATGTAATCATGCATATCCTATCCATGACATAGCAGCTATGGTTCAGATACCTATCTGCCTTTGGAGTGTTTTTTTAATATAGCTGTTCTTTAATAGCAGTGAGTCTTTTCTTAAATTGTAGTCAAGCCAGATTACGGCCAATAGTTCTGGAAAGGGCGAAGAAAGGTCCCTTGTCCTCTTCGCTATCATTAAATTTTCCCGTCTTGTGGATAACAGACTACTATCTGACTTGACATATAGCGTGTGATCCGTTTGATTAAATCCTTTACCTTAACTTCGCTTTTGTTCGTGTGTTTGGCACATGGACTCGCTACCGATTACAACGCACGTTATCAAATTTTAAGACCCCCCCCCCCTTCCTAAGATTAAGGAAATATAATGACACTGATTTCACGAAATAAAATTCCAGATAACTGCTCTAAATGAGATTCTTTTTTTTAAAAAAAAAGAAATATGCACATGCGTTTGTTGCATAAAACTTTATTTTGATTTTCTGAAATAGTTCGTGAAATAAATCTTAGGTGTAATAGCTGGTGGGTCATAAGAAAATGAATATAGTTCAAGGGTGTGTTAGAATGTACGGTTGCTAGCCTTGAGGGTGGGGGGTGGGGGTGGGGAGAACTAATTGGAATTATTATAAAGTTTGTTCATCGTATGTATGTTGTGTCCAATTTTCAGACCCACCCCTACTACTCGATATTATATTTTATAAGGTATTTTTATACGAAAACCTTGCTCTATTTTACACTTGATAAAGAATTTTTTTACGAAAAACTTTTTTTGGGGGTTGCTTTTAATATTGTAACCATTTGTGGTTTTCCTTTATTTAGTTGAACAAGTTAGATTGCGTACCGTTTAAACGACTACTGGTAGGCCTACTACTCAGTGTAAATGCAAGTTGAAGGTATTGTTAACAAATGTACCAAACTGCTTGAGTCCCTGGCACTGCGTACCCCCGTAGCTTAGGGGCTTGGGCGTATTAACAACCTGGTTTTGTGGATAAACAGTTCTGACAGTATTAGATTTAAAGTCTATGAAAAATATCTTTTCTTTTAGATTGAAGGAAGTACGAAAAAAAAACGCATTAAAAAAGGAGATAGTGAACCAGCCCTTCATAATGCTAATCTGAACCAGGACAGTATGACCTCAAGAGCAGTCTGACTTAGGCCTACATGTCAACAATTCAGACCATATCATGCATAAGACAGGGCTTCCCGGCCTGGGATGCTACACCCCCAGTGCCCCAGAGCGCGTGATTACATTTCCGGAGAGGGGCCAGAACAAGTCATAACAATAAAGGATAACAATCCTTATATGCATTAAAATTTATATATATATATATATATATATATATAATATATATATAGCCTATACGATTTTTATTAACACTTTGTCTCCCGGGACTATTTCCATTACTTTGGACTCAGAAAAATACAAGACGTCTTTAAACTTGAATCTAAATTCTTAGACAAATCTAAAAGATAGAACCCCAAATGTTATATTTCAATGTAAATGAAATTGAATGTATTTAGCTTTTTAAAAGAAAATAATATGTAAATCTTAATTACCGATTTCTTAAGTGTACCCTACCTTCTCGTGACATTTATATTAAAGCATACAGGGTAAATGTGAATAAAATGAACATAAGTGCATAATCTTTTTCATTTGGACTCTTCATGTAAGGCCATATTTGTAGTACATGGTTTCGCAGATGAACTCCCTATTCAGATGTAGCTCCCTTGATCTCAATAGGATTGGTTTTAGGACTATTCTGTTTTAAAAGTCTCCTGTCAATAGTTGAAATAATTCAAACATAATTTCTTACAAATGTAGACTATTTTATATACTCTTATTACTATACAGCCTGGTCTATAATTTAATCAACTTAAAAGTACTACATAACCACACACAGCAGTCTTGTCAAATAGATTACTGGAAGAGTGCACCAAATATAACTTTTAAATAAGGTGAAAACATAAAGGGAAGATTTTTAATTAAAAAATGTTTGATTTCAATTTTTATTTCTTTGATAAATTATTTCAAATCCTGCAGCACTACTGATTCATTCATACGTCACAAACTCAAAAAGTTGTATTAAAATATGTCTGAATGATCAAAGTCTCCATTTCTCTTTTCAAAAAAGTTTATTATTTGGTATAAATTCATTTTTAAAACAATGCATTACTAACATAAAATGTATTACTGACACACACAATGTTTATTTTGGAATTATCCTTCTCATAATCAAATTTATTACAAAACAATCAGTATTTACAGATGAATTTGAGGGAGAGGGTGGATATGGAACAAACAAAAAGAAAACATTGAAAGGGAGGTAACTACTAAAGAAGTAAATACTTTGCTCCCAATCCATATAAGTCTAATGGAGAGAGTAACAATTCAACACATGCATGAAGAAGAGGATGTAAAGCATGAATGAAGAAGTAAAGCATGAAGAGACAAGAGAAACTTTGTAGGGAGACTTGCTGTAAAGTGAGCCTTACACAAGCTGAAAAAACGACAAGTCAGCTGATGAAGGCAGAAACTGCACGTACATGTTTAATTAAGGCTGATCATTTGGAAACTCCACACACCCTGCAAGACATTTTGAGACACAGCAGAGACACGAACCAACTTGAAAGAAGCATCCAACAGTCTAAAATGGGAACTTAATCAGATGACAAGAACTGGTATTATCATCCTCCTGTCACTCAACAAAAACGTCATACAACATCAAATCTCAACAGCAGTGAAGAAAACACTCAGATAAGAACAGGCAATTTTTACAACTTCCTCAACAAATTCTTTAAAAATTTGCTTTTTTAAAAGAAAAACATTACTAATGAAAGTTAAATGAGATAGAGCTATTAGAGCAGTGGTTCTCAACTCTCCTCAATGCCGCGATTCTTTAACACAGTTCCTCATGTTTTTGTTGGCCCCTAAACACAAAATTATAATCCTTACTGCTTCATAACTGTAGAGTATATGTATTTTCAGATGGTCTTAGACTACCCCTCTGAAAGGATCGTTCGACCCCCAAAGGGCTGAGAACCGCTGTATTAGAGTGTTTATCCATTACTAAATCATTTTTAAAAATGAAAGTTAAAAAAGCTGCCGAATGGAAACATGTTCATAATGATGTTGTAACATTATGATCAACCTTAAAATAAATCATTGAGAAGCTGCACCTTCTCAAAATCCCTCCTTCAGTTGGTGGCTTTTTCCATTTCCAACCAAAGACTTTGGTGGTGGTAGACAAGGAAATGTATCTGAAAAGATTATTAATTTATTTGTCAAAATTGATTCTAAAAGTAAGACGTTCCCTTTAGTTAAATTTTTTTTGGTCAAGCTATTTAAATTTGGTTTTAAAATAGGAATACTAAGTCTCTTTTTTCTGAGGACATATTTATTGACGTTTTCTTAAGATTCGTATTATATTTAAATACAAAGAGGCAAATAATAGCTAAAAACCATGTCAGTTATTTAGTGATAACTCAGTAGATAGTTGTCATGACCAATATAAGGCTGGAATATGTTTTCCATTATTCCCAAATTTGGAGGGAAAAAAATTGATGGTGCAAAATAAGCCAAAACTTACTGTTGTATTGCTTGCCCTTTTCTAAACAAAATGCATTGTACTCTCCAGATGAGTAAAAATCTCCAAATGCCTTGTTCCACCACACTGGGAGTTCTCCACCTTTCCTGGTCATGATGCTTGTGCCTACATTCTCACAGTGCAGTTCTTGAGGCAGTCGTTCTATGCCTTGTGCCCCATCATCTTTAGTGAACCAGGCATCAGCCTGTGAAGAAAGGAAAAAATGTAGTTTGCAGAAGAAAATTCAACAATTATTGTTCATTAAAGTAGCAAATTATTTGATAGACAAAACTAAATATTAAATAATTATAGCCATGGTTAAGAGGAGAGAGAGAAAAGTAAGACGTTCCCTTTAGTTAAATTTTTTTTGGTCAAGCTATTTAAATTTGGTTTTAAAATAGGAATACTAAGTCTCTTTTTTCTGAGGACATATTTATTGACGTTTTCTTAAGATTCGTATTATATTTAAATATTTTTATTCATATCCACAAAGAATATTTACATCCAAATGTGTTGACTGAGAACATTTAAATTTATAATTTATGAATTCATGTAGGCCTTAAGTTAACAGACCAGAGACAGTGCTCATCTAAAAATGTAATTCTTTCAAATTCACCTCCCAAAAGGTAAATATTTTATAGCATTTAATTATTATTAGGTTTTTTTAAAATGATATTTCAGAATAAACAAAATAAATCATTTTTCTTACAGTCCCATTCAGGAGCATTGCAATGGCATCTGGTCTGTCAGGTACAACAAGAAGTCTGCTGTACCTTTTGTGAAGTCTGTTCAGACAATGAGCATTTGTGATTGCAGTCTCGGTATAGACTGTTCATGAAAAAAAACAAAAAAACACATTAATTGCTTTAAATTGCAGTTACATTCAAATTATTTCTTCATTAAAAGCCTTTTTTAAAGTTACATTCAAATTATTTCTTCATTAAATCTTTTTTTTTAAAGTTACATTCAAATTATTTCTTTATTAAAAGCCTTTTTTTTTAAGTGACATTCAAATTATTTCTTCATTGAAAGACTTTTTTTTTAAAGTTACATTCAAATTATTTCTTCATTAAAAGCATTTTTTTAAAAGTATAAAACATAATGGAATAATTTATAGACAATATGGTAGTAAAAAACTTATTTTATATGCTGAGAGAGGCACGACCTCTTCTTTGGTGACTTTCTGTGAAGATAATATCATCTCACTCCCTTCCTTCAGTTTTTTCTTTCTATTGTCATTGTTATTTGTTCATATAGTGTGTAAGCATTTAGTTTGTAGTTTGCCATTAAAATAACATTTAAAACGATTGAAAATTAAATATTGTAGGAATTACAATTATAATTTTTTAATTAATATCATGGATAAATGTTTTTTTTTTAAATATTGCAAATGTAGTTGACCGAGTGTTGCCTATGGTATATAAGGAATACTCATAATGTTACCTATGGTATATAAAGAGTAGTCAGCAGCATCGGGATTGAAACCACTTGGGTTACCAGCAGCTACAAAGAATGATCCATAGGACACGAGGTAAGGGGAAGAAAAGTCCCAGCTGTTTTCTCTGTCAAAGGTGTCAAAGTAGCCAGTGCAAGCATCAAACCAACCCTCCATGAGACCTGAACTCAAAAATGTAATGATTCTTTGATCTTCTAGCTACACAGTTTAATCACAAATGTATAAATCAATTTTTATATAATTAGTTTATCGTTACTTCTTATCTATTTTAATTTGCTATCAGTAATAAAATGGTTAAAAACTAATTATTGAGAGAAAAATGTCTGAAATAAAAAATGTACATGATTTTGCCTATTGTCTTAGGCCTACCTCTTCCTGGATAAAGAAGCTCTCCTTTTCGTACAGTGCACTCTGATACTTCTGCAAGCAGCAATGTGCAAGCTTTACCTGCTTTCTGACATACTAAATGCAGACAAAAATTAGAATAATTGAACAGTACATTTTTATACAAATAAACATCTATTTTGAATCAAATTTATTAGTGTGTAAATATCAATCATTCCGCTATTTGGTAAGAGACAATAACAGAAAGACGGCTCTCAAATGCATTTGTTTTACAAATGACTAGCATTGTTATAGTCTTTCAATTTTATATCTATGTACAGTGCACATTATTATAGTCTGTCTTCTGTCATAAGAAAGCTTTTCTCTAGTAAGTTAATGATATTCTTGTTAATTTGCATGATAATTTTAAGGCAGTTAAGGTAGCTTTTAATTTTATCTTTGATAAAAGTAATAAAAGGCCAAATTCTTATCTAACATAAATGTAGACCTACTTTATAAAAACTCAGCTATTCATGAACTGTGATTCAATCTTATGAATTTTCAAAACAAATTGATCTAAAATTTAAATTTAAATTTAAATTTTTAAAATTTAAAAACATTTAAGATCTATTTCCAATTATTATTTGTTACACTTAATACAATTTCATATTAAATATAAATTACTGATAAATAAATGTTAACGCTAGTTATGGGTGATAAAATCTAAGTACACAAAGCATAGAAGCTGATTACAAATACATCTTAATGAATCTTTAAATTTTTAACAAACCTGTTTCCAACATATCCTTTGTAAATCCAACTAATCGTCCTTGTTCATCTCTAAATAGGAGAGAAGATATTTATTTATATATCACAGCAGATTGGTAAAGGATGTAAGCAATTGGCTTCTAAAAGAATTTTTATATTTAAGAATCTAGAATCTTAAAATTCAATATTACATTGTAAAGCTGCTGACCATGTTACTGTGTCTACAATTTCCATCAAAACAAAGCATGTTGGGCTCATAACTGATCTACACTTTTAATTATTCTTATTTAAATGAAATTTAAAACTCACAAATAACTGTAAGGTGCAATTCTTCCACTCACAACAAATTTCCATAATTTGTCTGGCACCTAATTGAAACAAGTTAAAAGTAAAAATATAATATGCCCTTCTTTCTCATAGCTTGAACAAATTTAGATTATTGATAATAAGCTATTCATCAATTAGGTCTAAATTAATGTGAACATTTTTCAAGTTTTTAAATGTTTTATGAGCAATAAGAATATTTGGACCTACATCTATCACCTTAAGTTTAATAGAGATAATAAATTTTTTGCCTAATAATTTTTTTTAAAAACGTTTTATTTTACAGAGATATTTAACTTCAACGATAATTTAAATATATATACATTTAATAATTGAAATAAAAAGGTTTAAATTGGAATGATCCATACATCTGATGGCTGCTGTGCATTTATAAGTGCAAGTAGTTCTGGATTAGCCTCTTGGGGTGGGGGAAGACAATTTATTGGGGCTGAAATAATCAAGTTAAAAAAAAACTTTTGATTCATTGAATTATTCATTGTATTTATAGATTTAAAAATGAAATCTTTCAAATTTTTTCTTAAAATATTACTTATGTTCTATGAAGTTTTAAAAATAAAAACAACAAGATAGTTTGAACTCAAATGACAACACTCAACTCACCTCCATATTTTTTAGAAGAATCAGTGCAAAGTTTAGTGTATTCTCCAGAAAGATAGAAAGTTTGGAATGCAGGATTCCACCATGTTGGTACGGTGCTGCCTTTTTTTAACATAATGCCAGCACCACCAATATCACATCGAACTCTCTGAGGCAGAACCTGCAAGCCATCAATTTTCATTCTTGGGGAAAAAAGGACATCAGCCTGGAAGTAAATAAATAGCTAATGTATAATTATCGAAAGAGTATTGCATAATTTAATATATTTTTACTTCAAATTCTTTTAACAACATCACAGCTAAATCTTTTGATATACTTATGGTGGATTTTCCCCAATTATTACAATAATTTTTAAAGTAAAATATTGCAATATATTATTAGCATTGACTAAAAAAATGTTCATGTAATTCTGAAAATAGTCATGAATCAGCTATCATTAAGTTTTATCTTTGTAAATTTTTGCTTATCACTATTATCAGTTTATATTATTTTTTAATAAAGAAATGTGTTTTTCTTTAAAATGTAACATAATAATTATCCTAATTTTCTTAGTCTACTACATACACAGTGAACCACGGATTCTTTTAAAGTTATAAAATGTAAATACCTTGATAACACTGACAATTTATAGGCCTATCTTTAATATGTTTTAGTTTTACTCAGGTCCAAAGTTATGAAGCCAAACTGTTACTGGTCTATATAATAAAGACTTACAGTTCTATTTAATAAGAGAGCCTTTGCTTCAGGTAAGTCTTGTGCCACCAGAATTTGTCCATATTTCTTGTGAAGTCGGCGCAAACAAGGCTCATTTGTTGGGGCACCAGTTAAATGTACTGAAAAATAAAATAAAATATTCATAATTTGATTGTACTGTGTACAAAATGTTATTGTATCAAATGGACTGAACTATAAAGTGATCAGATATTTTCATGCTATTAAAAAAAATATTCAAAGTCACAGGAAGGAAATGTAAAATATTTTACACACAACATTTAAGATGTTAATTGAAATTAAAATCTAAAATTGGTTAATTAATATTGATATATTCTTTTTTTAGATCAAGTTTTTTACACACAAAAAATGCACAAATTAATTTTAAAGCATCGGATTAGTAGATATAATTAACTTTATCTTCTAGATTCTATAATGATGTATGTTTCTATTCTAGAAAATTTTAAAAAAGCATCAGGAATTTACACATTATAAGGCACAAATGCTTTAATGGATAGCCTACATAAATGAATACCTATAAGAATACATCAATGAATACATAAATAAATATATACATTAATAAATAATGATCCTAATTCATTTAATTAAAATTCATTAAATTCACTTACAAATTGTAAATTTTGAATAGTCATTACTGTCAGGGTTAAATCTTGATGGATTCCCAGGGGCAACAGTAAAAGATGCAGTGCTGTCTAAATAAGGTGAGGTAAAATCAAATTCATTCTGTCGGTCAGTTGTTATTTCATATCCAGGACATCCATCAAACCAATTTGCCATCAAACCTGAAAAAATTATAAAAACTTGACAACTATTTCAAATACAAAAAATGTAAAAACAACAAACAGTGTAGGAAGATGAAACTGCAGGATGACGACTGAGATTGGGGAGCTGGATAATTTTAATAAGATATTTTTGACGTATGTGCCATGCCAGAACTATAATTTGTGACAAAGTTAAGTGCCATTGCTATCTTAATATAAATATCCCCTTTTAAACATGTAGTAACTTCTCAAAATCATAAGAGAATTTTAAATTGATCTGACACTGCATTTTTACACTTGGACCAATGATTTTATGAAGTATGAAATTCTGAAGCTCTCTTTGTGCTAACAAAATTGTTGAGTCTTAATTAATGAATGAATTTATGTGATTAAAAATATTTTAAAAGTGTTCCATAAATAATTTTAAAAAAACTACACTGTTAGAAACATTTGATGAAACTGAGAAAAGACAGAACTGACAATCATACCTCTACCCGCATAGTCAATGGACCTGTCTGTAAAAATACATTCAGTAAATTCAGCAAGGACAGTGTGGCACTTCTTTCCTACCAGGTTACACACTGAGAGAAATGAATAGTTACGTTTTAAATGTCATGAAAATACCTTTGGGACACAAAACAAAAAGATGGTCAGATGTTGGCTGAATATGAAGTTTCCAAACTGAATACATTTCTTGACAGTTATTCTAATTTTTTGTTTTTGTTGTGGAAATCTTTAATTGAACTAAGATGAAAAAAAATCAAAGCAAGATTTAAATTGAAGAGATTAAGGCAACCGAAATGTTACATTCAAATTTTCTTGCACTTACCTTTATTTACAACCTCAACATCAAAACCAACTAAAGTTCCAAACTCATTTCTGTGGAAGTATTAACAGCGTCTTTCAGTTTGAATTTCAAAATTTTTTGAGGTAAGAGCAATTAAATGACTTGTTATTTTTAATTTGTTATGAAATTTTTTATAAAGTTTAGAGCTTGATTTTCACGTAGGCTTTTGTCTCTGTGTTTCTTCTGGATTATGCTCTAAGTTACTTTTATTTCATTGGATTAAATATAGGCTGGCTATGAAACAAAAACTTTGAATCACACCAAAACTTAACATCTGATGATTAGATTAATTCTATGAATGGGCCTACTATTAAAGATTTTGAAAGAGCGATTTACATAATAAATTGCATTGGCATGAAAACACAAATACATTGGGTCGTGCAACTTGAAAACATATAAATTGGGTCATGCAAATTTAAAATAGAGAAAAAGTACAAATGTGAAGTAAATTTGCTTTAACTCACATGAAACTATAAGGTTTCTTCTTTCCATCAGCAGCAAACAAATATATTTTACTATCAAGTGCATCTTTTACCTGCAAAAAGAATTTCAAGTGATAAAGAATGATAGTGCAATAACTTTCTTAAGATGCAAACAATGTTTAATTTGTAATACATGATTTTAATTCATTATTTTTTTGAATAATGCTTGATCCATCATAGAGTCAAAGTTTATAAAGTACTTTAAAGTATTTTTCCAATTGGAATAAAGTGTAAACATATTTAATTCTTCATGGGTTATGAAATTAAAGCCTTGCATTGTTTCCCCTGGGTGATTGTTACTTCAATGTTAGCCCAATAATGATTTATAAGCTTTATTTGTTTATACAATTTTTGTAAAATAATATCTTTCATTTTTTTTTACGTCATAGCCACTAATAATTAGTGGTTGACACATAGGAGAAAAAAGTACTATTTGGGGATAGGTTAATTCAATGGATTGGGCTTATGTTTCCTATTTATTTACATACATTTCTTTTTCACAGCTTTTTTCCTAATTAAAAGAGCCAAACGACAGGGACAAGAACAAGGGACATCAGCTCTGCTCCCTTACCCTTATCTGATACAAATGTCTAATAGAGGCAATAATGTATATTTAAATTACATTAGATACTATTATAGAATATTTTATGACTTTATTTCAACACAACCAGTTTACAAATAAAACATGAGTGCATATTTTGGTTTAGAGACTTTTAGCAGAGCCGTTACATGACTTTATGAGGCCTCCTGATAATTTTTTGGTTTTGTTTCCCCGCTCAATTCAAAGCTGATAGTTAACATAAATTTTTACATCACAAATTTGGGCCCTTACAATATTAGAGGTCCCCTGCAGCAACAGGAGTTATAGGGCCCACTCCAGGGCTCCGCTTTTAGGGGCCTACTTAAAAAATATGTAGCCTACAAGATGTAGTCCACTACTAAAATAGATGAAACATCTTTATATGGGTTGGAGAGTTTAATAGTTATAAAAACAACTTACTTGAACTTCTTTTTCAGGATTAAAGAACAAGATGGATGATTCACTATGTTTAGCAGAGATCAAAACGAGACATGCCACCCCTAGTACTGACTGGAGAATCATTGTGACGCGTGGTGGCGTAGCTCTGAAATAGACAGAATGAATTATTTAATGCACTGTGTAAGAAAACAGCTTGTCACCATCAGCTAATGGATTTAAGCAAAGAATACATCTACTGGATTGCCACTCTTTCATTGTGCGTAATTGTTCTCTGCATTCGACTATAGTAACAAACACTAGTATTGTGGTGTTTAAATGTATCTTGAATCAAATATTTGCACGTATTGTGATGATGATGTAGAAATGCGTTATGAATCAAATATTTGCACGTATTGTGATGCAGAAATGCGTTATGATTAAAATATTTGAAAGTATTGTGGTGTAGAATTTCGCTATGAAACAAATATTTGCACGTATTGTGGTGTTCACAAAATGTTAAGACAGAACTTGCAAAAAAAAAAAAAAAAAGGTAAGGCAGAAGGCAAACTCTACTGGGGCACACCAGCATTGGGAGATGCAGAAATGCGTTATGATTAAAATATTTGAAAGTATTGTGGTGTAGAATTTCGCTATGAAACAAATATTTGCACGTATTGTGGTGTTCACAAAATGTTAAAACAGAACTTGCAAAAAAAAAAAAAAAAAGGTAAGGCAGAAGGCAAACTCTACTGGGGCACACCAGCATTGGGAGAAAAAATATGATATTAATAACACCACTTAATGTTGGCACATACAGGCCTAACGAAGCAAGTGACGTCACACAGGCACGCAGATAAGTCAGTCACATGAAATGTCATAACGTTAAATCTCCACATGTGGATTGAAGGAATTAGAATGTTCGCATGTCAGATTTTGTTTTTAAATGACATAATTTTGGTTGCTGTTAAAAGCTAAGGATCCAGTGGAAACTATGTATCATTAAGTAGAATTTTCTATTAAAGCAGTGGATGCATTTTTTAGATCAGGGAGGTAGCCTATATTTCTCATTTCGACCTACTTGTGTCTGCTTGGTGGTTAAAATTTGAAAAGTTAATTAAAATATAAAATGTATTAACATCTGGTCATTTATGGTGAGTAAATTGACTTCTGGTTTATCATTGTAGTTCAAATCTCTATAATAATATAGGCCTGTAGTATGTAATATCAGTATAGTTATATTGTAAGACAAATTTAAAAAAAAGTCTAAACCTAATTATTGTATTGGTAAGGTAAAAAGTAATTTGAAATACTGAGTTTTAAAGATTGTAGGCTACTTACTCACCAGGTTATTACGAAATCACACAACTGGATATTGCACTGCTCCTAAATGACCACTGGGGCTTCAGTTCGAGGTTTTTATTATCTCACGCTCTTGACCATGAGACGAAGGAACGGGCGTGGAGAGAAATCAGTACAGGCGATACCGAAGAAAGGGGGATAACTGCCAGGGAGGGGAGAGAAATGAGAATAAAACAGGCCACTTGTATAACAAGATTGGGGTGGGGGAGCGTGGGGGTGGGGGTAGGGTCGAGGGATAACTCTCAGGGAAGGGAGAGAAACGGAGCAGACGGAACTATTTTGTAAGCCTGTCAGCAAATTTCTTTTCTTTTTTCGTTTTTATTTTATTTTTTCTTGGAGTCACATGCTTCTGTGACCTGGAAACTTGAACTAATTTCTGGCCTTGAGAGGAAGTCAAGTTCATGTAGACGTTTGGGTGGGTCCGGAGTCTGGGCGGGTGGGGAGTAGGGGAGCATTACAAGCAACCACGTGAGTTTCAATGGTAGGGAGGGGCGAAATATTTTGTGAAAATAAGGAGGGGGGTGTGGGAGTAACAGATAAAATTGTCTTCCTTCTGCGTAACCTCCTGCACTCTACCGGACGGCTCTCTGCAACCAGTGAATGTGTTAAATAATATTGTAGTGGATTGTTTTGTTTGAATGTACGTAAGCCCAACCGGGAATAAATTAAACTGTTTAAAATGATAACTTTAGAGGCACGACTGTGTGTAAAGGGGGCTGCAGGTTATTGCTGTTTGTGGTGTATTGTATGCTCCTTCGGAACTGTGTCATCGACCCCCACATTACGTCACGTCTGGTGCCGACATTGTGTTTAACGTACACTGAGAGATTATGTTAAGAAACACCTCTGATTTATTACAGCACTATGCCATAACTGGATCACATGTTAAATGAACTAAGGTGTTTTGTTTGTGTGTCTGCGCGTGTGTGTCTGTGTGTATGTACTTCTTTTTTTTTTTTAATTTTTTATTACTTAAAATTTTTTTAAATAATGCTAACTTCGTCTCGTGACAGACCACGTGGTGTTGTTGCCACCAATTAATAACTTCCCCCTTTTACAGCATCTGACGTCAAGATTGTTCTAACAAGCATTATTCAAAAAACCTTGACGAAAAAATTAGAATTTGATACAAATTATTCTATCTTTAGGATCAATGGGGCAGATCAATTTCAATATTTATTGCTGGACATTACTTTTGAAAACTTCCTTTTGCTAGTAAACGTTTTCTTAAAAATCCAGGAGATTAATTACAAATGAAGTTAATCTTATAAGAGATGAACTATAACGTTTATGAGAACATTTCTTCTCCATTCATGCTTTAAACATTGATTCATATATAGAACAGCTTGATAAACAATAAATATAAAGAACTAATACTGTCTTTACTTTTATGAAGAAAAAACCAGGGCCATGTCAAAGGAAAACCTGCGCCTGGGTTCACACTGCAAAGAATGTCTTTAGAATATAATATACCTACCATATACGTGAGGAAACTAAGATGTCAGTGGCATAAGCAAGGTGGGTTATGGGGGTCAAAACCCCTTCCCCTTGGGAGACAGAAAAAAAAAATTGAACAGAAAAAGGAAAAAAAGAGAGTGAAAAGAAGACGGGGGCAAATGTTATCACTAGTTATAGCCCGCCAAGCGAAGGCGAACGTGAAGTTTCCATCAACAAACTTTTCTTGGCAAAACATGCATCCCATTTAGTGCTACCCCCCACCACCACACACACACACACGGTACGCCACCGCCACTGAACTATATCAATATTCTTATTTGCCACATCTATATATATTACACCGCAGATTTATTACACGAACAATTTCCATAAAACAAAAGAAAATATTACGCATCAAACGCACTTGCAGTGTTTCTAAGAAACCCATGTAGTGCGGTTACCGGGAATTTTATTTAATGAAATCTTGCGCCGTCTAGTCGTGTTAGTGAGATTGTTGCATAGAGAACTACGTTATTTGATTATTAGTTGTAAAACCCTATTTTGGAAAATAAAGACTAGCTCATGAAGCATCAGCAGAGATTAATAATTAATGATAATCTCATGTCAGTTATACAAATAGTCACCAAATCGGGGAACTCACGATAGACAAGCGCTCCCAAGGAAGTCCAAAAAAAAAAAAAAAAAAAAAAAAAAAAAAAAAAAAAAAAAAAAAAAAAAAAAAACGTTACAAAGACTCAGTGAAAGCGGCACTAAAGGCAGTGGCGTAGCTATGGTTGGTGTCACCCGGTGCGGTAAGCTCATGGTTCACCCCCACGCCCCTACATCCACGGCAGATTTCTTCTGATTAAAATAGGTCCACAGTAAAACAATGACAAGAACAAAAACAAATTAATTGAAGGTCAGGGGGTAAATGTATTTAAGAACTGTAACATATACTTAAAATCGACTGACCACATCGTAGTTGGTATCAATGGAAAGCTTTCTGTCTCACAATTTAGTTAAATATAGCTTCCTGTCACTCGCGAAAGTTACCGAACACTTCAATCGGCGTTGAATCATTGGCAATTAAGTGTTTTTCTTAACTAATTATAGGGCCACTTTATTTCTGAAGCATGAACCTTGAACTTTTAATAACGATTGTTTAAATGTGTGGATAATGTACGTGTGATCGGTTACCCCTTTATGAAATTCAGTTAGACCGAGCAATCTGTGTTCTGTAAATATGAATTTTTTCAATTAGGTGCACCCCCTGAGATGGTGTCACCCGGTGCGGTCCGCACCCCCCCACACCCACCTAGCTACGCCACTGCGGTATACACCCAGTTCTACGTCACAATCAACATTATTTAAATGTTTAAAAATCTCAAACTTGCTAAAACTTTTCAACTGCTGACAACGTGTGCTCAGAGCCGGCGTTACTGTGAGGCACACTAGGCTGAGCAGTCACGTGACATCACAACTTTTTGGCCCCTCGATGATCTGAAACTCACGTGACGGCTCTGATCATCATGTGGCCCACGTCTTAGAAAATTGAATAATGAATAACAGCTAGACTATCTGTAGCTTTTTTGTTCGAATCATTCTCATTAAACAAAACGAAAAATCACTCCCCGCGTTCTAGATCAAAAACTAGAAAACAAAATAGTATCCTGACCCTAGCGTTTCATTTCGCACGGGGGCCCCCTTTCCATCTCTCCTTCTCTGATGGCCCTCATTAGAGTCTCTGACTAGGACTACACAGCACCTATTCGATCTCGTCCAATTTTGGGGGATAAGAATTGAACCCCACCATTTAATGTGACGTCTCATTTATAACGAAACAAGACGGGGGAAGCAACGGACTGGTGGGGATGGGATAGTTTTAATGACGATACTTTAGTGACGATGAGGGGTAGATGTCGGGGCGGGGGGGGGAGGGGTTTGAGTGGTTGATGTCGTTGGTTGAGGGGTGGATGTCGGGAGGTTGTTTGAGTGGTTGATATCGGGGGTTGCTTGAGGTGTAGATAATGGGGGGGGGGGTGAGAAAGTTAGATAAAGTTGTGTACGAGACCATTGGGGTAACACGTTAGTATTCTGATCTGATTATATTTTCTACTCCATTTGAACGCACCAGGACTGTTAACGCTGTCCATCACAATCATTAGAGAGGACTAGTGTCACGCCCAGTTGACCCTTCAGTTGATGGACTTGACAGCTCCACTGAGTTCGGGGGGGGGGGGGTTGGGGGGTTGGCAGCGCTATCAGTGGTCGTTTCCCATGTCCTTATTCATAAATGTGTTGATGTATAAAATGTTGACAAGGCCATTGAATCAGCTTGGCTTATAACACGACCTATTGAGTCGTCCAAATTGCTATTGATCTGGCTCCTTATTTATGACCGTGGAGATCTCCATCTTACTCTCGGTGAATAAGATCAAGTAAACAACAAAGCTATTTATTTTTACGATGGAAAAAAACCGATTCGTTTTTTTATTATAGTGTAACCAGTAACAAACTCTGGTTACTTTAAACCTGTACATATTCGGTAAAAATGACAAGCTAAATATGAAGTCTCACTTTAGAACAGCTAGTGATCAAGGAGAAATTTAAGACAGCTATTGATGTAGGAGAAATTTAAGACGGTTAATAACGGAGGAGAAAGGAACAGTTGAGGCGACAACACTAGACACATTTGTGTCTATTGCCTCAAGCCTTCAAACCCCTAGTGCATAATTTCCTCATCACCACCAGTAACAGAAACATTGCAAATCCCATCTACATGCATAGGAGCCAAAATGATCAATAAATTGATCGTGGGCCCTTAAGATATAGAAGAAGAAGAAGAAATTTAGCTCAGCTAGTAATGTAGGAGTAATTTACAACTAGTGATGTAGGAGTATTTTAGGACAGCTAGTAATGTAGGAGAAATTTAGGACAGCTAGTGATGTAGGAGAAATTTAGGACAGCTAGTAATGTAGGAGAAATTTAGGACAGCTAGTAATGTAGGAGAAATTTAGGACAGCTAGTAATGTAGGAGAAATTTAGGACAGCTAGTAATGTAGGAGTAATTTACAACAGCTAGTGATGTAGGAGAAATTGGGGCAACTAAAGGTGGCGAGGAGTTTTATTTTAAATCAATTTAAATAAAATTTGTACCATTAAAATTACTATTGGAATACAATCACAAAGATGACAAATAACCTTTTCACCACTATTTCTATATCACATATAATTTAATACAAATAACAACATTGAAATCTGAACGCTGTTTAAAAAAAAACAAAAAAACATTGAGAACTCCCAAGTCTTAAAAGAGAAAAGACAGTGACACTTCTTTTACAATGCTTAAGTTTTAATGCTTAACATGAACATCAGGCACACAAAGATGGCAACACCAAAGAGCTCTAATTATGTTGTCCATCAAATGCTGTGAGGCAGGAAATGGGATCTGAAACAGAGAAATGTTACATAGTCAGTCTTTGAAACAGAGAAATGTTACATAGTTAGTCTTTTCTTGAATTAAAATCAAACCACTCCAAGTTTCCTGGAAATTTTGTTCTGACAGTAAAAAATATTAATCAATAACCCAGTTGATACAAATGCAATGTATTTCAAGAAAGGCCCACCCTTCAAAATATTCTTTAAAAACTTTTTCTCCTTCATTCACAAAATCATATTCATAAATCGGCTAGGTTTAGTCAGGCCAGGGAATGGTCCAAGATTATGCCGCACCCTTCCACTAAAAATCTTTGGCACCCATTTTTGTAAAGAAAAAAGTGCAGACCGCCCCCTCCTCCTCACACAACAGCATGCATAGATTTTATGCTGCATGTTTTTTGCTTAAAAATAATTGTTTTTGATGTTTAAGACTTCCACATCATTTTTGGAAATAAAAGTGATTTTTCTGATTTTAATGAAAAGATTTTTTTTTTTAAATGTCAAAGTACTAAAGAGATCTAATCGATAAAAACATTTGTTTTGTATTCATCCAGTCAGAAAAACCCAATAACTAAAATAAATATAGGGATTTTTGGATTGAAAGGACTAGTGAAATCCAATCACAAAGATGACGAACACTAAATCCAGCATTGAGGGTGTACAAAAAGGAGGAAATAGAAAGTTATAAAAAAGAGAAATCTTCTTTGTTTGGTAACTGCTTCAAAAGAGGAATAGATGGCGATATAAATATATCAACACAACAGATCTTATTTAACATGTTTGCACAAAGACTCACATCCATATTTAAACACACTCTCAGCACACAACTGTCTGAACAATCCTTGCTGGACATATGACCTAAAGGCTTCATTCCACCAGGAGACCAACGCGCTGCCTTTCTTGGTCATGATGGAAGAGCCTGTACGCTCACAGTGGACTTCTATAGGTAGCGTCTCAAGGTCTGGAATGTTACTGCGGGGGGCAAACAGAACATCTGCCTGCAGAAGATTAAATGCCCGTTTTAACCAAATCAGTGAAACCTAGACAAACTTTTCTCTCATCAGTTTTAAAAACAAAATTCTTTTTACATCATAAAGAAATGGACTCTCATTGGCTAACCACCAATAAAATGCATCAAAGAACAGTCTAAGAGACCCATCACTACTAATAAAACACTCTATAAATAAATTGGTACAAAATTTTAAAAACAACTACTGCCTTGCCCATAATCAACAACACGATGTTAAATAAATCAAAGATTTGTTACATTTATTTATTTTTTTTTAATTCAACATTTGTAGCTAATTACACCATTCCAACTGAAATGAAGTAAAAATTGTCGTAAAAATTGTAATGACAAAGCAGCTAAATTAACGCCTTACCTCTCCACTGAGGAGCTTGGCCTTGGCTTCAGGTAAGTTACTGGCAATGATGATCTTATTATATGTTTTATTTAGTCTATTCAAACACTGTCCATTGGTGTAGGCTCCCGTCAAATGAACTAAAAACAAAACATTTAACAGTGCAAAGTGAATGAAAGGAAGACACTGACTCTTTTACACAGCAAGCAGACAAGTCACATGACCTTACATTTTCTTGAATGTAAACATTTTAACTGAAGCTTTTTGTCATTTTTATTTCTAAAAATAGAAAATAATTATTCTTTAAATTACAGTGAATGAAGAATCCATGGATATCTTACTGAATGTGAAGGGAGAAAAGTCATCCAGGTCTGGTTTAAATCCTGATGGATTTCCTGGAACCACCGAGTAGAAGGCACCAGATCTCAGGTATGCATCAGTGAAGTCAAAGGCGTTTTCTCTGTCCAGGGAATCAGCATAACCGGTGCAAGCATCAAACCAGCCATCCATTAGACCTGGATATGGTTAGAGAGCTGTCCATTTGAATGTTGCATTGCTAATTTTACATAGCCATAATTAATGACTAATGGTGCTTATATTTTTTTCAGTTGTTAGCTTGAGAAAGTCAACATTTCACTGCTTTGAGTTACAATAAAATAGTGACATAAAACAGTGAGTCCCATTATTAGTGCATCCAGCCCTACCGCACAGAAAAGTAAGCATAGTATTTCAAATAACAAAGTGGATCGTACAAGAGCGGGCAAATAAAAGCCTGAAGAGTAAAACATGTTTATCTGCTTAAGTTATGAGCTGACCTCTGCCTGGATAATTGATGTTGCGATCCGTAAATGAACATTCTGTAAATTCTGATAAAACTGTTGCACAATTTTTATTGGCAAATGTACAAACTGAAAAGAAAAAAACAATCAAACTCAGCTGGATTTATTTTCAAATCATATGTCCCTGAAATAATTTTAATTACAGAAAGGGGAACTTGACATAATAATATAATATATACTACTTATTACTACTGAATACTTTGTAAGATAATTTATAGACGAGCATTGTGATAATTTTTAAGTGCTTAGGGGCCTACCAACCTGCGTTTACAAAATCAACATCAAAACCTGTTAGAACACCTTCACTGTCACTGTTGATGAAAAGAATTAAGCATACAGTTTAGAACTGACATAGAGGTAATTTATAGGAATTATTGTTAGATATTAACACATTTGCTTGAGCCAATCCATCACATAATAATTTAACTATTTGTTAACAACTTACAGAAAATTGAAAGGCTTTCTCCTGCCACTTACAGTAAACAGCCAGACTTTAGGGTCATTCACCTTCAAAAACAAAAAATTATTTTGTAGAAATAATTTGTTCCCCTTATGTTCAAATTTGTACCAGGAATATTCTGGTACATTGGTAATCAGCTCAGGATAGAACATATGCACCATTACTTGAACTTCCATAGGGCAAGACTTATTGGTCGGCCGCAGATGCTATTTAAGGACGTTCGCAAACATAAAAATCAACGAGTAGGAGATCATCCCTGAGCACAGTTCCAGCTGGCGAACAGAATGAAGGAGTCAAAAAGGCAGAAGATGTGCAAAAAAAAAGCCCTTGCAACAAAAAGGGCCCAAATTTAACCAGGAGTCAAGGATCTCATGCAAGAAATGCAGCCGAGACTGCCATTCCAGGAATGGCCAAGTAAGCTATTTGATTAAGTGTTCAGGGCTACTCCATCATTTCTCGAAGACAGAAAGATGGAATATAACTTGAACTCCTACAAGAAGTTATTATGAAGAATCAGGTCCCCGGTGTTCATGAAAATGTTTGAAAAACTTTAAATATTGCCTAAAGGATCTCACGTAAAATGTGTGCAAACAGATAAAAAAAGCCGAGAAAAAAATTGAAAATCAACTTATATAGAAACTAGAGACATTTTCAGTCCTGTAAAAGTGCTACAGTGACAGAGATAATGCCAATACCTGTGGGCTTGAATGGGGATCAAAGCTAACGTCATTCATAGAACTGTAACAATGATACAGTGACAGAGATAATGCCAATACCTGAGGGATTGAATGGGGATCAAAGCTCAGGTCATTCATTTCTATCAGGTTAGCAGCATACGTTGGTGGAAGACAATCAATCGTTGCTAGAATTAAAATAATGGACAAAAAATTATAATTAAGGAGTAAATATAAAATAAAACCGGCCAAATGGAGGTTAACGGTAGCTCAAATTTCAAAGGCTTTTCTAAGTAAAGTTCCGTTTCATTAAACAAAGAAATGAAAATAGGAGAAAGCTTTAAATATTATCAATGTGAAAATATTTAGCATTCTAATAGACAAAGATTTTCTTTTAGTAATTATTGCAGCCGGCTTAATTTTTAATATTTTATTTTTTTTAAGAAACAAATATTATGGAACCAATTGAGAACACATATTTTTATTTAAACAATTTTAAAAGCAGTCAGAATCACAAAAAGTCGATAAGACAGGCGTACCATTATATTTGACTTGACTCTGCAAACACAACTCTTCATATCCACCAGATAATACAAAAGTTTCGTATGCAGGATTCCACCAAGCGGAGAGCTGACTGCCTTTCTTCAGCATGATGCCAACTCCACCACTGTCACAGCGCACTCTTTGAGGCAAAACTTCCAGGCCGTCTATGGCATTTCTAGGAGAGAAAAGGACATCAGCCTAAGATAAACAGAAAAGATAATTTATTAAATACTGACATTGTATTTTAAAAGTTACTTAAAAAATTAAAATCTGTCGAATTTTAACACAAGAAAACTTAGCATAAACGTAATTTATATCAAGTGAAATTCATAAATATTCATAAACTGTTTTATTTGAAAAATGTAAACACTTGTGTTATTTGAATGTGCTTTAAGCATCGAAATAAGCAACAAATGACATCTAAACTGTAGTTTTAAAATGATCAAACATACCGTTCCATTCAGTAGTAGCTCTTTGGCTTCTGGTAAATTGGCTGCCACAATAATATTTCCGAACGTCTTTTTCAGTCTAGCCAGGCAAAGCGCATTTGTGACTGCTCCATTAAGATGTGCTGGTAGGTTAGACAGAAAACATCAAGTAATATCACGAGTTAATATAATCTATTTAGATCATGTAAAATGAGAACAAGATTCAATCATGTGATACATATTTTCTTAATACTATTTTCATTGAAGTAGAATAACAAGAGATATGAGAAACAGACCTAAAAATTTCATTTAAAACAATTGGTTATAAACATTTTATGATCCTTTCCCACCAAACAAAAAGTTTAATCATACCTATTTGTAAATAGCACTTACTCACAATTAGGCCTATTTTGAAAAAAAAAAGAATTCTACTGTACATTTGACTGATTTTGTGTTCTGTTGTTAGTAAGTTTATAACAGATAGTGAAAATAATGATTGATATAGAAAACTCACTCAAAGTGAAAGATGAATAGTCTTGGGAATCTGGGTCAAATAATGATGGGTTTCCTTGCAACACAGTGAATGATGATTCTGTTGCCAGATAAGGGTCTGTAAAATCAAATGCGCCTGCTCTGTCAACCGACATGGCATAGCCGGGGCATCCATCAAACCATTCTGACATCAATCCTGGCGATAGAAAAAATATGCCCCACCTTAAGTTTGCATCATTTTTTTTATAACTCGAGAAATTTCACCTTAGAGATTGAGATATCTTCAGTTAATTATAAAATAGTGATAACACAAATAACAACTTTTGAGAAAGAAAACCTTATAGGCCAACTTACTTTACAAAGATTATATATTATGTTAATTACTTTTATTTGAATTATATCCATAACACAAACTGGAAAAATATATGGAAAAAAACTTACCCCTGCCTGGGTAGTTAATATTTCTGTTTGTAATGGTGCATTCTGTGAACTGTGCCAAAACTAGTTTGCACTGCTTTTGAATAATACTGCAAACTGAACAACAAAAAATGTTTTACATTAACTTACATGTAAGGCTTACAATTTAAATTTTAAGTAAATTACTTTTAAGTAGGGTCAGTATAAGAGATATTGGGATTAATGAGGAAAGAGATGGGCAAGGGTGGATAATGTGGTAGAGGATAGGGTCAAGGTAAAAGGACTACCAGTGAGTTGTGGAGATTGAAAGTGTTGTTTTTTTGGGTGGGCAGGGACCAAGAGGAGACATGAGGGTGGTGGTACTACTTGGGTAGGATGGTTGGGGGGGGGGGATTAGTCACACCTGAATTTGCAGGTTTCATTTAAATTGCTATATTTATATGTTGTGGTGGCACCTCCAGTAATAAACAACTCAACAAGCCGGCAAGTTTTAGTCTTCCCCCCTCTTGAAAAAACCTGACATGATGTTCCTGCATGAGGGCCAGGGTGAAACAGTCATAAATGTTATGTGCATGACTTCATGGATACCCAAAATTTGCATGTACTAGTATTTAAAACAAAATACATTTTAAATATTTCCCATCCAAATATCATAAATATGAAAAGCATATTAAACCCCAGGTGGTCTAGGGTCATCCTCAGCTATGGGTGATTGCCACGTGGGATGGAAAAGTTTACTCTGATGTCTGATGTAATTAATTTGCATAATTCTAAAGCACCTTTGTTAATGATGTCAACATCAAAACCAACAAGGACTCCATTAGCATCACTGAAACAAAAATATATTCATTAATAAATACATTCAATGTAATGTCACAGAGATTTTAAGTGAAAAGAGCTTGTCCTTTGTTAAAAAGAAATTGTAATTGACATCTTATGGGAATATCATATAATATTTATAAAATCAAATCTTAAATGCTGTCAGCTTTTATTCATCCTGTAAGATCTACTTTTTAAAAGAAAAAAGAATAATCAAGACTTACAGAAAGTTATATGGCCTTTTCCTGCCATCAACAGCAAAGAGCCAAATTTTATCATTGGTTTTTACATCTGTCTGATGAAACAATAAACAAGATATCAATATTTAAATGTTTGATAATGGAAATACAACTGAAATTGAAGGTTAAAAAAATTGTCCTAACACTAAAACAATGGCAGGCTCATTATGTGAACATCTGGGTGTTAAACTTAAACTTAAACCATGCATAGAAAACTTAGGCCTACAATTTTTTTCTTTTACAGATTCTCAATTCTCAACTTATTTTATTAATTAATATTATATATTTTCAACTTCTCTGTCTAAAAAACAGGTTTTGAAAGAATGCCTTATAAAATTTTATAACTGAAAGTTGCAGGTAGTCTAATTGAATTATTTAAAAGAAAACGAACGCAATTTAGGTGGAGGGAGGTCTATAAATAAATAGTCAATAGTGTATATTAATAGTAATAATACTTAGTACTAATAGTACTAATACTAATTGTAGGCCTATGCCTATAGTCATGGCCTATGCCTATAGTAATTAGTATTAGTATTAGCCCTATTTGAATTCCTGTTACTAAAAAAAAAATAAAAAAATCATCATGTAGAACTAAAAAAAAAATAGGCCTGCAATTGCAAACCTGGTGTTAGTATTTAGTAACCTTTATTTTAAAAATGTGATTTACTTACCATTAATTTATTTAGACTTTCAGTGGCTGTCATACGTTGGGTAAGTGTGTGATCGGAGGCGCCGCATCGGAAACAAGCACTTGCTGTTGGCATAGGTCCATAAGCAGATGAAACAATGAAAGCCAGCCAAAAAGCACCTCTCAAATTACTAATAATTGTAAACCCTTTCATTTTCTTCAAGAAGCAATTGGCTAAATTAAGATTTGATTCTAAAATGAAGATAGAAGGATCTTCAGTTAATTAACATTAGATCTGCAAAGGTTATAGAAACCGATAGTTTTCAATATCTTGTAAACAAATAGTGTTGTATTGTAGAGTGAACAGTAAAGAAATCAGTCCCGAGTTGCACTAATCATACATGTTCCTTGGTAACGGAGTTGGGGGGAAGGCATGGGGTAGGTTTGCCCGCACTGCACGAAAGTTAAGTAGGTCACGGCCCCGTGACTTTAGTGAGAGTTCAACAGTCGCGTGACGTGCAACCACAACCTTCCCTACTCTGTGGTCTGCATCTCCAAACAACCAAAAAAAAAAAAAAATGTTATAAAACACCAACACAAACTTAAAAACAATACACTAGAACTAGATTTGTGGCGTACATAGATTTTTCCCAATTAAACGCCATAGAAGGCCTTTATCTAGGCTACGACGTGCTTTATATAAAATTATATTTAATATAATATGCTAATTATCTCAAAATATAAAGCGCATTATTAAAACCTTAAGGAGACCACGAACATGTAGCAGAACTAATTTCAGAGACAAAGAGAGAGAAATATTATGTAGCCTAGGCCTAGATAACGTTATTAATAAAGGATTTATGGGATATCCGTTACTTCTCAAACGTCCTTCAGATAAAAAAATAACATCAGAGGCATAGGTAGAGCCCCTCCCCCAATCCCCCCCCACCCCCCAGCTGTCTTGAGGTTTCACCTCACCCCCAATCCACATCAAAACTGTTGCCGTCACTGGCGTATCAAATAATAAAAGAGAGAGAAAGAGAGAGAGAGAGAGAGAGAGAGAGAGAGAGAGGGTGTGTGTGTGTGGGGATTTTTTTTTTTTTGGGGGGGGGGGGGGCTACGGGGTGTTAAATCCCGGTCATTTAAAATGATATCCAAAAAATGACAAACTCGTGTTTTCAAAGTTAATTATAAAGGTGTTTGACATTTATAAGGACAATAAATGAATATAAATAGATGGTACGTTGACTACAATCGGTATAAACCAAATTCACAATTGTACATCGCTGCAATGCTTTTTTTTCCCCCCTGTTTGATTTTTATATTACGTTTTTGTTCGTCTGAGCTTTGTTTTGTTTAAGGACTTGTGCCACTCTTATTCTTCTCTTTCATTTTTAGGAGGCTATATAAGGCCCTAGAGGTAGTGTATCATAATTTATTGTCATAGCTATTTTTTTAGAGAGCGCATTTGTTGTATAGCTTATCTGTGTAGCTCTTGCTATGTAGTTTGTGTTGGTGACGTTGTCAGGTGTACGACGAAATTCTGAATGCAAACCGGGAAAACCGAACGCCAATTGAACATAGCATGACATTCTTGATAGAAATAGTAAATAATGAGCACAAGGACAGATAGGACACTGTCACTGCCAGAGAAGAAATTGATGCCGGTTTTTTTCACAGTGCAAATGATGCATCGCCCAAAAGAACCGGTTGTATTCATTCCATTTTGCCATGCATGATGTTAACCAGCTCCTCGACGCAGGAAAGCTGACTCACACATTCACTGTTGATGCCTATCGCAAGGCAAGTCCAAGAAACAGTGGCGTAGCGAGGGTGTTTGGCGCCCAGGGACAAGATTCGCGCCCGGGGACAAGATCCATTTTAAAGCGCCCTTTTTTCTTTTTTTCAACTCTCAAACCCATTATTTTCATTAAAAAAATAATATCAAAGCACATTTTTTCGCCCCTAACTAGCTGGCGCCCGGGGACGTCTGTCCACCTGCCCCCACCACGCTACGCCTCTGCCAAGAAATATAGCTACAAATGACTAATATGCTATGGCCATGGTCTGGGAAACATGACAAGTATGACTTATTTGTAACATTCACGTGTAATCCTAAAAACATGGTAAACTTACTTCTTAGGCAACAGTCATGCTACCGGTCTGATTTAGTAACAAACTGAAATCAATATTTAAAGACTTAACCAAGCACCAAACATGTAGACTTATCAGGGTTATATGATCCATGTGATCGAGTTCCAAAAAAAAACTGCGTCTACCACATGGACACATATTGCTATTCAGGGTTCCGGAAGACAAAGCCTGGGGCAATTATAACATTAAAAAACAAATATCTGAGCATCACTCCGTGCTACAAAAGACCTCCCGAGACTATAACATGAAATCGTAAATTTATATTTGATACACGACCCATGTGGTCCATTAAATCCAAACAAACCGTGTATGCTCATGGTTAACGGTAAATCCACAAAAGAATCCTCAAAATATTTCCGTGCCGATACCAAAAGCAAAAGGCAACGGTTATCCAAAATATCCAGGCCGAGATGATTGTAGAACTTTGTTACACCTGAGCAAATCAACTTGGCCATTAACAGATGGGTAACTCTACCGTAGCGGGTCCCGAGACCGAGATGCCTTGAGAGCCTTTGTTTGTGGCCTATGACAGGCGATGATGATGATGACGATGATGAACAGATGGGTGGGTGATACAAACAATATCTGTCTCTGAGATACAACGCCCTCATTAACTTAGAATGACGTAGAGATTAGTACTTCATTTCAAAGCGTTAAAGACATCTTAAAATACTTGTATAAGGGGCAGGATGATACGATAATTCAATTCGTTACTGTTCGCAAAGAAAAGGAATATACTATTAAATGGGACGAAGTAAGAAATGACCTGACGACCATATATGTTAAGGGCACCTACAGGCATGGGCGCCCGCAGGTAGGGGCAAGGGGGGCACTTGCCCCCCCCCCCCCATTGATTGGATAAAAAATTTTTTAGACAAAAATAGACCAAAAATTTATTAAAGTAAAGAGAAAATAAAGAGAAAGTAACTAAGCTGATGTCCTGTCCGTTCGTTCACCATACAAATACGCTACATTAAATTAAAACTATATTAAAACATTACTAAATTCCCCCCCCCCTGGAAAGTTAATCGATTTTTTGCCCCCCCCCCCTATAAAGTTTTCTGCGGGCGCCCATGGGCACAGGTAATACAACATTTGCGAACTACCATTTGGAAAACATTGACGTAGATCAAATTTAAAGGAATGGAGGTAGCTTTACGTAACATTGGATCCCAGGCCACTGTGGAATGTAGGTAGCTTTACTTAACAGTGGACCCCAGATCCCAGGCCACATAGGAAAGTAGGTAGTTTTATCTAACAGTGGACCCCACTAAATCGATACCAAATCACAGGCAACGCAGGAATTGAAGTAACGTTTACTGTTGGGGATCCCAGGTCACGAAGCTAGTACGAATAACGAAATGTTTAACGACAAATTGATGGGGGGGGGGGCGGGGCTGCTCAGCCTATAGCCATTGGTACCAGCTACTTATTTGGGTAAAAAGCCACATGGGGCATTTTCAAGGCCATGTGGTTTGGTTTGCGATTGTCAGGGACATGCCCAGACCGAACCAAGACGATCTATTGTATAAACCAAATGGGCAAAACAGAGTTTGGCTCATAGATTATGAAAAAAATCACTGCCCAGTTCAATCCTACTTGAACCAGCTAGACATTCAACAGTGACTCGAGCTGCCACCTTACACTCATGGGATAGAAGAAGGGGAAAAATTGCTGACAGAGTGCCTCTACCTTGACCTTGGGGAGACTAGATCAACGAGCGGTTCATGTGTTAGATTAATAAGACACACACAATATGTGCACTTAAAATAATATATGTGAAGCTTTAATTACGGCTGGACAATATGCGACTTCATACATTTCGACAAAGGCCTCCGTCAGTACAACAACATTCATGCCATTACCAGTTTAAACGTATATTAATGAAACGGTGAGATATACTCTGGCATGGAGTGGTATAGTCAAAACTAGGGTTATTTTACACCCCAGAGTATAGTTAGGCGAAGGCCAGCTTATTCCCCGGGGTATGTTATGGGCACTAGGGCCTGGAACAAACTATACCAGAGCTTAATCTGGACAGGGGTTAATTTTCCAGCTACACCGGTAGTGGTATCATTCTTGGCGTTGTCGTCCTCAGCATTGTCGCGGTACTATTCATTGTATTAAATAAAGAGAAGACGGGCTTTCTTACCTAGAGAAACGTCCCTGAAAACCTAAAGTGTAATTATCACACAGATGATAGTCATACAGATGATTACAAGACGTGCGAACAATACGACTAAATCGATAAATTAAGCCAATAGCACAAACTGATTCGCATTTGTGCACTAATTAACTAAACCATGACTTTTGACTTTATTTTAACTAATTAGATTCTCAACAAGGTAAGATTTAAGCAGAATTCTAGATATTTTGGGGAGGAACCATTTTGACGGTAGTCTCGAAGATTCCTTTTCGAAGAGTTGTTAACACATAAGTAAAGTTAATACCACTTGAACTCAACCACGCCCAAGACATTAAACCCCTCCCAAGATTTTCAACCACACCCAAGTTTTTCAACCACACCCAAGTTGTTTAACGACACCCGAAATTTTCAACAACAGCGAATATTTCCAAACACACCTAAGATTTTCAACCACACCCAAGTTGTTTAACGACACCTAAGATTTTCAACCATGACCCAGATGTTCTGACACACCCAAGATGTTTTTTTTTGTGGGATTTTGTTCCTAAATTCCTCAGTAGTGAACTGTTCAAACAAATAATTTCACATTGAAATATGTTGTCATGATGTGTCTTGGGTATTTTTCTTACCGTGGTCAAATCAATGTATTTTATACTTTTAAAAAATATTCGATTGTATCTTTATATTTTATAGATAAGTTTTATGTCCTTTGTAAGTTTTCATCTAAATTATGATTTTCTTTGCATTACTTCATCTCACATAGTTATAATAATGAAAACGTAATGATCTGATGATGTTTTTCATTCTTCTAAAACATCGCACACGCTTCATTTGAATACACATTCATGTCAAAACCTGTTGGACAGTGGTCGGGAAATCGCGAGCCGCATGCGGCTCTTAGCGACCTGAGTGCGCCTCGGCCATTAGGCCAGAAATCGGTTTAGGCTCCGAAAAACATTGGTTCTTGACAGGTTATTGAAAGAAAATTTGGCTCTCAAAAAAGTTAAGGGAGTTAAGCCATACAAACCTTTTAAATCTGCATAAGATGAATTACGTCTCTTGAGCCAGGCGGTCGACATCCACTAGGGCAGTCCTGCACAATCAACATTTAACATGTCAGGCCGCAATACTTTATAACAAAAAAAACTTGAGAGGGCC